AGCTTGAAACTGTTAACATCAACTGCTAAGTCTAGAAATTGAGCATGATTAATTACCAAAGCAACAAGACCCCTTGATTCTGTAACAACTTCATTCGTTTTGATAATTGCTTCTTTAGCTGATATAAGCTCATAAAGAACAACTCCAAATGCGTAAACATCTATTTTCGGGGAAACATCACCATACTGGGCATACCTGAATCAATGTAAGGCCATCCTGCTTTTCATCAGAAGACCTTCCAATCTTACAGATTTACATAATGCAAATGATGACAGTAATTGGATGTGTTTTGCTTTGGCCAATATGTGTTTCTTTATTTGTCGGGAATGCAAAAATGGTATACAAAAATTAATCTTACTCTGGAGGCATGTAACCGAAAGTACCCACTAGACGCGTGTTTTGCAGAGATGTACTTCCAACTTTTGTAAGTTTTGTGAGTCCAAAGTCAGCAACCTGCAGAATAGGAGATTATTTTTAATGCAAGACGAAAGTCATAAGGCCTTCATCAAATGCTCATATACCACCTGATGTCCTTCACAACCTTTGCTCGGAAGTTTTTGTCTATCAAAATGTTAGCTGGCTTAATGTCTCGATGAATGTAAACAGGAACTGTATGCTCATGAATATACTCGAGTCCTCTTGCTGAATCAAGGGCAATCTGCATTCTGGCAGACCAAGGCAATGGTTCCCTACCTGTAAAAGGAATATAAATGACATGAGACAGATTGTAAGCACGAAGGATTTCGTGCTGATTTAGGAACTAGGATGCAGCACACTCACCAAAACCGCGCAAATGCTGAGTTAGGTTGCCATTCTCGATGTATTCATAAACCAGAAACAAGGATCCCTCAACACAATATCCAATTAAGCGGACCTACATTGAACTTCAAGTGTATTAATCTGGTTGAAATTGAAAAATGGGCAATATCTGTGTCAATCCATGGCAAGAGATAACAAAGAATTCTAAGTACTAGGAATAAGGAACAGGAAAAGTCGTTAAGTCCATTAGGAAGAGGGAAATACCAGGTTTAAGTGATGAACATGGGTCAAAACCTTCAGTTCAGCAAGGAATTCTTTGGACCCTTGCATATCCATCTGCTTAATTGCAGCTTTCTACAAGTTGAAGGATAAAAAATTTGAAATTAAAAGCCAGATGAAATAGCACTTCAAAGATCAGCAAACTTACGGTTTTAAGTAATTTCTTGTACATGGGGAAGTTGATGAGGGGAATTACAATCTCAAAACCATAACTTCTACAATCTACTGGAGAATAGTTCAGAAGATTTAAATTTATGAAGTGCTGACATCAATAAGATCATGTCATTTTCTTCCTACCCCCTCCAAATAAAGGTTACGATGATGGAGTCAAATGCCTAAAACACCACTGGACGATAAGCTTCAGGAATACCAACATGAAATAAAACACTCAAAAGTTTCAGGAAGAAAATCATAGACCTATCCTTGCAGCTTTTTTAATCTCCACAATTATCAAAACATGCAATAGCATTCCCATTTCCCCATTTGTTTTTTTTTTTTTAAAGTTCATTTCTCAAGTAAAGTCCTAAGTTAGTTTGTCCTCATACTAGAGGTGGATTCATCTTCTCTAATTGGCATCCTTGAATCCTTACCTTAAATAAAATCCATGGATTATCTTCTAACTGTATCAGAGATACTACTCTTTTTTCAAAGACCTAAAATTTTCTTTGACAGCAAACTCAAGAAGTCTATCAGCTAAACACTTCATTAGTAAGACTGTTGACACTTTTCGTGTATCAAGTGAGCAGAACAAATGTACAAACCTCGCCTCTTAACTCCCCATAGAAAACAGAACCAAATCCACCTTGACCAATTTTGTTTGCTAGGCTAAAGTTCATTGTTGCCTCGGCAAGTTCTTCATATGAGAATTCAACAGATTTGTCCACAGTGATGCCGGGCATTCTTGTAGTGGTGCTGACAAGGGGACCTGATTCCGATATTTTCTCCAGTGCTCCAGGTCCTACATCAATAGAGGAAAGGTATTTTATGTGTTTGAGAGTTCCAAACATGAATTAGATATACTACCAGAACATCTAAACTGATTGACACCCCCTCCAATATCCGTGATATGCATTTTTAACTACAGGAAATGAGGTAGACAGTGAATATGTTTGGATCTCAAATCTTGATGGTCCCATGCAGAAGACAACGAGAAAATCATTTGTCTGGACAAAAGCATAGTTAGCCTTGAAATGAAAACTAAGAACAGGGAAACTAAAACAATGGACACTTCATATCCTACATCATGCTTAAATGGAAAATGTAATCTATATACTATACCGAGAATGGAAAAAAAAGGCTACCATGCACATGCTCATCATTTAGTTCATGGGGTTCTGCTTTAGGAAATCCTTCTGATATTCTCCTTTGTCTATAGAATATTGCATACAAGCAGACGGCCAAGAAAATAGCTCCAGCAAGTACTGCAATTGTAATTCCAGCAATAGCTCCACCTGAGATTCCTGTTCAAAATGGCACTTATCAATTGATCTTAAATAATCATTGCCTAAACGCCATGGTTGAACTCAAAAAAATTGTGCCAAGCCACATTTGGTTGCCATTGACGATAAAGGAACTAACCACTTGAGCTGCAGGAGAAAAAAAGGATATTAGAAGTGAAAGGGACATTAAAGATGGTTCCAACAAATCAAAGTTTAGTAGTATAAGCTACCTTGACTTTAATGGTGGAAAAATTCCATTTTGATCTGCATCAGGGAGAAAACAGTACGTCAAGAAGAGTCTAGCAATCAGGCTCTCATATTTCCTGGTAAAACGGCATCATTTACAACAGAATTGACACTTGACACTGATAATTTCCTAGAGAACAAAAAGCTACTCATCATTTCCTACTAGCTCATCATGTACATCAATTATGAAACCTTTACCACCTCTAAAATGCAATTTTTCTTCACCCGGCTAATCCGACTGTTTCTTCAATTAACTTTGACAAAAAATTGATATCTGTACCTATTTTCCTTTTCAACTTTTAAATATGCTTCTTTCTGTTGCTAGTGACTAATTCTGTTTTAGCTAGTATGATGGTCTTATGAACAGTAGCATTTTCTTGCAGAAAATGAAAATGAGATACCTTTTCCTGGGACAAAAATCAAACCACTTCCGCCACTGAAATTCACTCTAGGATTGTAATCTTCCAACAATTTCTCAGGAAGATCAAACTCATTGGCTAGGGAAGAAATAGTCTCCCCTGATCGAAGAGGATAGGTTATGAATAAACCATAATCCTTCGACACTTTACTATTCCCGCAAGAACAATTGACAGTAACATTCAACTGTGCAGCGGCGGGAACATTCTCGGGAGGATAACTATTAAACCTTTGTAACATCTCAACCGTGGTAAGATTTGCATAAACAAGGTGAGCAATCCTTCGATAGTAAGTAGCAGACCTGACCCGATAAATAAACTGATGCCCCATAAATCCCTCTTTTAAGCAGCCACATGGGAATGGAACACTAATTCTGCTGCCAAATTGAATAATGTCCGGATTGGTTATTTGAGGATTGTATTTAAGAATGTGGCTGATAGAGGTAGAAAGAACAGTGGATATGAATGTAAGATTTGTTCCATTCCATGCATAATATGAAGCTAAAGCATCACATCCTCCACCGCACTGTGATTCAACTCTACCCAGTAAGATTATCACGGTTAAAAAGCCTAATACCAGCTCAAAGCTTCTCTTTCCCTGCACATCCATAATTCTTGACAGTGCCACAAAATTTTGTTACTGTATTGTGATCTGGGGACTTGCTAGGTAATTCAAAGATGCTAAATGGAACCCACATGATAATTTTCTGGAAAAAAAAGAAGAAGAAGAAGAAACGAGGTAAATTCTGATTTTCCAGTAGTTGACTGGTGCAGTCTACTGATGTATTTTGGTTAAAGTTGGTAGTGATTTTTCAACTAAACAGACACTTTCATGATTCTATCACGATAGCTTAAATAAATAATTAACTTGCAGGATCAGGACTTTGCGTGGTTGACTTCTAAAAACTTTATTGACCGAGTACTAATCTCATTAACAATCATACGCTGCTTGATATCATAACCATCAGAAATCATGACACAAAATTTTGCCAGTGTATTTGGAATTTGATCCCATGGATACTGATAAAACGGATTTAATTAATTAGTTGTCTAACTTTGTTACGTTTATGTTACTAAGTGTTTAGCTCAACAGTAATAATTGGACGTATCAATTCATGGACAAATATAGAAGATTTCCACAGTAATAATTGGTGAAGACAAAGCAACTAATATATTGCATGTGGGATTTTACTAATTTTTGTTTTTATTCTGAAGCAACGAAGCAAAGAATTTTTTGCCCACCTTCCTATACAATTAAGATGTATTACCACTGAAACAAAAAAGTACTACTATGCAAAAAGAAAGTAAATAACCAAAAGGTTTTGTGCCAATAGCTAGAGAACTAAAACAACAGACAACTGAGGATTTGTTGTTTAACATTATGGCGTTCATAAGCAGCAAGAAGTAAATTGTACCACATCGGCATTTGGCAATGCCTACTATTTCATATGGCAAACGAAGAAGGGGAAAAACTGGGATGTCGATCCATTGAGTCAGGTTAAAAATGTTCCAGCCGGAGCTTAGGTTTTAAAATGATGCCAAATGGATATTACAGCTTCGAACTTCTATTTTTATGCCCCAAGAAACGTGTATAAAGAACAATTTTAAAGCATCTCGTGACTTTCTTTCAAGAATTAGATACTTTGATATGTTCTTATTGTCCATTTTGCAGGCATATAAATGTTGTCATAATAGTACAAGATGGCTGTCAGACCACATGCCAACATTTTGAATTTTTCAAAGCTGCCATTAAATTAGAATTTCTCTTTTGCAAGTAGTATAACTTTCTAATCTTGTGGACCAATCTCATCACTCATCGATGATATGCTGAAAGGTTCTTAATTAAATATATGCAAGAAAACTAACCTTTTGCCGGCACAAACACTATTCCTGATCCTGCACTGAAGTTAGATCCTGGATTGAACCTTTGCAGCAACTCAGCTGGAGCCCCTGATGCATTTGCCACAGATGACAGATTCTCACCAGGACGTAAAGGGTATGTTTCAAACAATCCATAATCCTCCGATACTCTGCTGTCCCCGCAAGAGCAATTCACTGTTACATTGATGAAAACGGAATTTGGCAGCCTAGTAGGGTCATATATGTTCACCACTTGAATCCAGTTCCCATTTGTCAGATTAGCAAAAGCTATTCTTGCAATCTTCTCATATGTATCGCCACCCTGAGTCAGATACTCAAAGTTATGTCCCAAAAAATCACCAGTCAAGCACTCACATGAGAATGGAATGTTGATTCTCGTACCGCTGTGGATGCTGTCTTGATTTGGAACATGAGGATTTTGTCGAAGAATTTCTGGGATTGTTTGATTGAAGATGGAGCTAATGTATGTGAGATTTGATCCTTCCCAAATGTAGTATGAAGCCAAAGCAAGGTCACAGCCACTTCTACACTTGGCCTCAACGCTAAAACATAACAACACAAGTACTAAACAAGAGCTCAGCAATAGAATTAGCCTCTTCCTTTTTGATGCCATTATTTTCATCACTTGTTTGTGTGAAATATATAGCAAGAAAAAGGGAAGAGGAGAGACGAATTATAATGATTTAGGATGCCATTAAACAAACTAGAAGAGAGATAGTTGTTCAAGTCATTTCGTCATCTTTACTTCATATAGCCGTCTTGTATTGTTTGTCTGGTTTTCCTTGCTCATTTAATTAAGAAAATTAGAAGCCTTGAGGGGCCATAATAGCCCGTACTTAATCTAATTTTGTCTCCATCTTTTTATATATGATTCTTGAATTGAGAGCTATTCTTGACTTTATCAGCAATAAACAAGCATCAAAATGTAATATAATGAACAATTTGAGATACTCTTCTAGCTTTTATAGCCCGGATGAAGGACCAGTTGAATAATTCTTGAGATTATGGTGTCAGCTGCTGCAGGCTAGAGAAATTTAAGAAGCTGGCAGAAACACCAGCACAAAGATGCTTGTCGTTTTGGTGCAGATTTTGTGCTAAAACGTTTGCTCAGTGTGCGACGTTCTTCTCGCTAACTTTAAGAAAAGGAGGAGGAATATAAAGTCCAAGATTTCGACCAATTATATTAGATTTTCTTTCTGCATTTCTGAAAGAACAGAGAAGCCATTTAATATAAGCAGTTTTTTAGTAAATCAAGTTTGTGCCCTATCAAACCTATTGTTTCAATAAGACAACTTGTATAGTTAGGAAAGTGAAAGTGCACAAAGGATTCCATTCCATTTCTTTCTCATCTCAATTTTAAACTGCAAGACTAACAAATATGTACAGTTTTTTTAGTATAAATAAAGAGCTTAAGCAGCCTGGGAGCTGCTTTTCATTTCATTGAAGGGATGTCAGTGAAGGGAGCTGCTTTTCATTTCAGACTTAAATCCAGCTAAAGTTTGCCGAAACTGCTACAATCCCTTTTGGATACGGTATCCATGATTTTAATCGACTTATATCTTACCACATTATTTAGTAATTTGAACTCCTGAAATAATTTAAGGATCGGTAACTCTTATTCTATATTCAACGGTGAATTTAATCTCATCGGTACGGTACCTTAAAGGGACTGCAGAACTCCCCAAAATTGCATGATAAATATTTAAAACTTTGGTTAGATTTCAGATTTGGGAAAATCACTCGAATCGGTACTTTGTGAGCATAGTATAGTGATCAACTTTTTATACTTGTGTAAGCAGCAAGTCCAAAAATGAAATTATTATTCTGAGAATTCGAAATGAGCAATTTCTTTTATTTCATATTAAAAAAAAAAGGAAAGATATTGACCCGCCAACGTGAACCATGCTATTGATCCTTAACTGGTAAGCTGATAATTCTTCATCCATCCGAGTTTGACAAAGATTGAAGTTTTTGCAGTCCCAATTGATGACCAAATGGTGGAATGCACATTCGCTAGTTTTGCCAAATTCCGCAGTTTATCCTTCAGATACTTCCTTTACTAGATGCCCTCGGATTCTAATGTTGAAACGTAATGCCGCCCGAGAAGAAAAGGGAAATAGAGAATTGAACAATAAGAGCGTTAATATTTTCCTACTTTACAAATATATATCTATCCTTTTACCTGTTCTTCAAACTTCTCACACTTACAGAGGAAGTAGGAATATTCCAGACTTGGTTATTCAATAATACGAGGGCCAGATGCATACACATACGTATAAAAGAGACAATAGAATGGGTGGGATCCACCCTTAAAGATGGACAAATGATCCATGACAAAATTTCAGGCTTCTTGCCACATATACCTGAAGATATTTCAACATGGAAGTAAAGATATTATTATTATCTCTTCACTAAAGGCTTCTCAAGGTGTCTTGCCGCTTGCTAGTCATTGGACAAAAACATCTACTTCTGCTCTTTTCCTTCAATTCTCACTGGCAGTTGCCACAGATTACACAGTACAGTTAAGATGAGCCATATTATGGAATCCTTCGCCACCGTCCCCCTCTCAAGGCTCGCAGTTTCTCCAACACAAGCTTGCAGGGAAACCAGAGCCTGTCCCTTCAGGCCATGGAAGCAAAGAACTTCTCAGCCAACTCGCTTCCATTGTCAAAAGATGTATGTTCCAGGTGGGTAGTCACCCTCTTGTAAAAGTTTCTAGCAAGTGTACCTATGGATCTGCCTGTGAATATTAAAGAAGAGTGGTGCAGGGTTCGGAGAAGGATCACCAGAAGCAAAAGCAGCGAAGCACCTCCATAATTTCTTCACATACATTGCTGTTCGAATTGTCACTGCTCAGTTGCAGGTTCTCTTCTTTTCACAGAATCATTATCTCCACTTTTATTGTTCTATTGAGTATAGTATCAGACGGTTGGCTACATCAAATCAGTACAGAACTTTGAAGCTCACTGTATCTAATGAAGCTACAGATTAGGGTATAGACATACATCCATAAAAATATATCTATGCCATTTTCTTGTTTTTTAACAGTCACTTGACAGAGCAGAGCTACAACCCCGAGGCATACGAGGAGTTGATGGAATTCTTGGGCAGACACTCAGTGAATGATGGGGATAAGTTTTGCGCCAACTTAATGCGGGAATCACCAAGGCATAAAAATCTAGGTATATATGTACTTACATTTCACTCAGCCTGAAATCATATAGTACAAAATTCGCAAGTTTTAGATCAACATAAATCTTTTTAAACAAAACAACTATTACAACAAGTGTACCATGCATTTATGCACTGATCATTTGGTAACAGCAATCACAGATGAAAGGACAAGATTCTACATGGTATGGAATACTTGAGTAGGTACCAATTAATTGCTACATTTTTTTCTGTGTGTATAACAATGAAAGAAATAAGTAGCATAACAGCTCCACTATGCTGTTAACAATCACAATGTAAATTGCATAGTCTGTTTTAACGGCAGCAGCCTGCATATTAAATCTGGAAAAAACTGAAATTTTCTTCTGCTTTGCAGCGATGCGGATACTTGAGGTTAGTGGTTTCTCTCTCCTTGGTATTTCTTTAACTTGCTAAGCTACTCTTTTTCACACTATGCTAAATAAATGGTATGGGATCTTCATGCAGGTTAGATCTGCATATTGCAAGAATGATTTTGAGTGGGACAATTTGAAGCGATTATCCCATAAGGTCAAATTCTTTTCTTTCACCTAATTTTGATATTTGAAATCACTTTTTCCTGCTTCACTTAGTGCAAATGTATGTGTTGGTAAATCTGCAGGTGGTTAATGAATCTAATACAAGACTAATGAGGGATTATGTCCGAGAAACCAGCCATGTAGAAAGTGAAAATTAATTATCCTTCTGAAGCTGCCTGCGCTTGGAAGCCGTAGAATGTAATGGTATATATTGTTGTATCATCAAAAGAACTCGAATTTAAACAAGCATGTACAACATCAAAACCTCACTTAATATATTTAAACAGGCATGTACAACATCAAAACCTCACTTAATATACTCAATTGGTACGTGTATTACCTGTACTACAAGGGTAGAACATTAAATTTCACACCACTCCTGCAACAGCTTCCTAATCTCTAGTTTGTTCATGATCCTGCAAATGTAAAAAATAACTTTGACAGCAGATACTTCTGTTTGAAGAACTGAAGGAAGCAACTACCTAAAAGGAAACAGCACAGAGGACCAATACACAGCAGTTTCCATCTCAATGGCTCACTTGCATGCTCACAGGGATGGATTGGATTGGCATATAGGTAGGTACAGATTGGGGGTATCCAATACCACTATGGTTTAGATGCCAATGGACATTATTTAAGACCAAAAGTTACCTCAACAAAGCAAGAGACATCTGAGGTAGCGTGGATATGCCCTTTGCTGTAATATGACTGAGCATTTTCTTCAATGTTCTCCACCCTGCATTTCATTTAAAATTTTTGGGTGTTGATCTAGGCTTCAAACAGTTCTTTATAATGACTAAAGTCATTCACAGCAATAATCAACATTGTTATCATGAGCAAAACCATTGAAAAAGATCAGTTCAACTTCATGTCAGATGGTGTTTACACATAATTTGCGTAGACATTCTTTTCAAAATTGAACCTATTGTTAGAAATAACGCATATTGCCAAAGTAGATGAAGTATTTTCCAACTCATCAAAACGACCAATAGAAAAAAGAGAAAGAACTAAAGAAGTACCAAACATGTCTTGCAATCATTGATCCAGAGGAAAAGTTTTACCTATATATGTAGTTGACCATAATCCCTCCACTCTGAGTAAGGCCTTTTTCAGATCGATCAGCCATCCAATTCAGCCTTCCGATCATCTATAAAGATTAAAATCTGATTACAGATTTTATCTGGCAGGGGCTTCCCCATGATAGTTTAACCACTAACTCTTTCACATGACCGAACATAGTCTCTGAATTTATGCAAACAGATCAGATCTACAACGTGCTTGAAGTCATTTTTTCAACAAATGGGGTGAAATGACCGAATACTCTGAGATAACAGACTAGGTTACGTGATATTGTACACTCAACAGGTTAATAATTTTGAAAGAAAGCTTAGTAAGTTCTTGACATACCGCTCCATTCTGCAAGTGGAAGTTTGCCACAGAATCTAGAGCTTTCCCCCTCTTCTTCTCTTGCAGAAGGTACCTGGAATTGTTAATTCAAGGAAGACATATTACCCAGAAGCAACAAAATGCCCTATATCCACTTATAGCGGCAACTTGCTCCACATGACTAAATGACTCCGGAGACTGAAGATCCATCTTCAGTTTATTACTTAGATAGGAAAGAACTCCAAATGATTCTTCAAAAGCAACAGATACATTTTAACCGTTTCTCCTACAATCATCAGATAAGATGCACTCACAGACAGGGATTCCTATTGAAAAAAGACAACCTTCACATATGAAGATTAACTTTGTCATGTGATAGCCTGGATGTCTATCTTTACTCTTATCTTCAAGAATGAGAAAAAAAATATCCTTGATATATATATATATATCTGAGGTTGTATGTTGTCTTTTAGACTAGTTGTACTGAGATTACTTAATATAACAAACCATACCGAGCACAAAGTCGCATCATTGGAGGTCTTAGAACCGAAATTATCTTAGCTGACTTTGTCCACTCATAATTGGTTGATGTCAACAAGTACTTCATCACTTCCATTCCGTTTTTGCTGGAACTGAATTCTCTGTACCAGGAAAGTTTTAATAAAGGAGAGAAATATGTAAATCGATTATCAGACACAAAGAAAGATTTGGTAAAAAATTGAGGTAAACAATTCATAATTCAAATTTTAGTGCTCAGATTTGCCAGAAGTTCAGACTATTATGTCATCCCATCTCTGGGTGATTCAGGAGCAACAGAGATTCCACATTTCCAGCAGAGCAGGTAGCTATCATTCCATTTCTTGGTGTTGAGCAAGGCAGGAGAGATCGAGTATGCAATATTACTGGAGAATATTATGGGAGCAGGGGTGGAAGAAAGAAAGAAATGAGCAAAGATTCCAACCCTTCAGCGTAAAACCATATGCTTACACTGCTGCATCTACAAGTGCCCCCTCTTCTTCTTGTTTAAGCAAGTTCTCTCTAAAGGTAGGACCAGATATCTCTGCTGATGCCAATTTTGATAGAAGCCACTGCATGTAGCCTGGAATAGGACTAAGAGTAGCAAAGGTCTGCAGAAGAAATTTTTCAAATTGTTATCAGCTATAACCAAGAGTCTCATTGAGCAAGAAAAAGAAGACAAGCATTGAGCTCTACAGGCTGATACAGTGACCAATGGACAAGAAAGATAGTCTCCATATAGTACAAGTTATTTGAAAGAGCAAACAGAAAAAGTGCCAAGTAAACAAGTAAATCTGAATGCAATCTGAACTGCTTTACTTATAAAAACAAGTTGAAAAGTCCCACTCACTTTGTCATCATCATTATGCAAAACCCAGACACAAAACCAAATTTCTGACCAATTGTGGCTCTACAAATTACAACTTCATAATTCTTAAAGCTGTAAGATAAATTACTAGACAAGAGCAAAGTACTTGAAGGCTATAATGGATTTAAAACCCAAAAAGTTGGAGAATAGTGATATCCTGTACTCAATCCATGAAAAAACCAACTTACAGAGGCAAAGAATTATTATCCACAAGAAGTTAGCTTCTCCACCCGCACCAAATGGTCACAGAACTATTTAAAACTCAATTGATCAAAACATACATATTTGGTCCAAAAACGTACATTTTTATTAGTTAAGTGACCATTGTGACTAAAGAAAAGTCAAGTGACTAAAACAGGGAATCTTAAATGATTCAGTGACCATTTACGCCATTTTCTCTAACACATAACTCATAACTACAACACCGAGAAGTGACAAATGTCCATAAACAGAGAAGAACTTACAGATATAATCGGCATATCCTTCTTCACAACATCAATTACACGTTTAATAAGGAATTTCCCAAGGTTGATTCCGGATAAGCCAGGCTGCAGTTAAAGAGAAAGGTACAACTTAGTATAAGCTAAGGCAGCTGAGAAGAGGGGAACAAGGAAGGAGGGAGGGAAAGGAAGAGGAGAGATAAAGCCAGAGTATCCCCTTGTATGGTGGGAGGGGGCAATAGAAGAAAAAAATTAAAAACAGTGCAGCTTGAGCAAGTATATTTAACAGGTAAGGGTGGTCCTTTGTTCTTGACTAAGTTTATCAATTTATGAAGCTTTCCCATGAAATTACACTTTGGGCAAAATTTCAACAATAGGAGGAAGCTTAGTGCTTTGAAGCATCTGCTTTTTCCTTTCTTTCTGCAGAATTTGCAGCACTGACCCAATGAATTTCTGATCAGAGAAAAGGAAAAGAATAAGTAGTATAAGAATAGTTCAAGCAATTTGTTTCTGTCAAGAAGAGAGAGCTGGGATGCTCACACTGGGCCACAGAGGGGAATAACATATGGTTTATCTACAAATTAATCAATTACCAAGAAAAAGAAAATTATGATGAGCACACAAAAGGATGCATATTAATAATCCCATATAGAAGATGAGCGAAATCTCACCATTTTATTACAACAAAAAGCAAAATGGTCATCATAAATTATTGGCAAAAGATCAGTCAAATATAAGTGGTCAGGTCAGCAACAAAAATACCATCCACGAATAATCAGAAAGTAATGCTGTAAAAAACCCGTAAGATAAAAATTCTAACCTGGGTAGATGATATAGAGTAAAAGAGTGCACAGGTTGCTTCACATTCAGGTATTGGAGGATCGTCCCATAGAACTTCCTAAGATGAATAATTTCATTAATAACTATACATAGTAGTTTCTAGCTCGTTAAAGAAACAGTCTCAAGAAATAAAGATTGTTCCTTTTCCTGAATCCTTTCAACACTCCACAGCAAAACTATTCACCTGAATCGTCTCGGCCACATCCTTCATTAATGCAACTTCTATGAATATGAGGGGTTCACCTGAATTATGCTCAGTTATTAGACTGGATGAACATTTTAAATCCAGATTAAGCATGATACAAAACAAGTCATAAGTTGACATCTCCTGTACTCCATCACCTTAGACCAAACCCTGACAAAAATCAACTAAATTATTTTATAAAAAATTTCATTAATTTATTAGTGAAAATTAAAGGCCCCAAACCCCATATTGTTTCTGAACTGATATACTATTTCTTAAGCTCAGTCTAAACTATACTTCAGGAATGCCACAAGACACAATCATTCCAGTTTTCTGCCTTCCTCCTCTTTTCCCCGGAATGGTGTAATTTTGCTTGCCTCATAGGTGTACTCCCAGGTAAATACTGGACATTCTAGATCTTCTTAATTTGTGTTTTACTCAGTCAGTCACTACAGTATCTACTCAAATCCTGAAAATGTATTCTTAGTCCCAGTTTTATCTTTTATATTTCAGCAGGCAATCAGTCTTGCATTTACACTTCTACCAATTTGGTTCATCATTGTATGAGACCTTTTGCGGATAAAATTTCTGTGAACTAAAGCATAGCTAGGCTAGCAGCAACTGTAAGAATCTTCATATGAATCTAGCAGTTATACAATAAGAAACAACTGATGATTTTCAGATCTAACAAGAAAGGAAAAAAAGGATTGCTTCCTTGAAGTCAAGTAGACATGTAAATAAGTAGATACCTATTGCATCATACTAAACTTTGCAACCACTTAAGACTGTAATTCAAAGACAACAGATTCTACACTCTGTCCACAAGCTTTTAAATCTTTTCTGAAAAAGATAACATTGGATCACCAACAGATCTATACTCACTGCAGCAAATGCTGTACGAACCCAACATCATTTCCTCAGTAAAACTCATAAATTCAAATAATAGGAGCCTCAGATTTACAACACTGCCAAAATTGGTCAAACATTTCGCAACTCTTTTGACACATCAATATAGAGGAAACGCTCAATAAAGTAAGAATACATTCAATATCAGATCCCCATAACAAACTCAAGAAATCAAATCCAAAATACAGCGAGGTTGGAGCCAGTTTATCAAGTAATCTTGATGAGATCAATACTGCCAGTTGTTTGCATTTCTAGTAAGCAAGTTAGTGAAAAATTCTACTATGTATGTCAACCAGACTAACAAAAAGTTTTTCTAACCAGGTATTGCTGGATGTAAATATCCGAAACAGCGGCGGCCTACCCCCAGCCTTCTTTTCAGGTCCAAAAGACTGCTGATTGGATGCACTGCCTGAAGAAGATATTTGTGAACATCTCATAACATGCAGATTTCATAGTTAGAGAATTTATAAGGAAAGCTGGCAACACGGAATAGAAAAACAGACCTCATAAGCTACAATCTTCTCCAACAAAGAAGCAGGATCATCCCATGTGATATTATGAAGCTCTAGATTCGCAGGACTAAGCCATGTACCAAGCTTCTCTTTCAAGTAAGAATCAAGTGCCCGCAAGGATGGAAAATTTTCCTCGCTACAAGTTGGAAGGAGAAACACTCAAAAGTTGTGACTTTTGTAACGGGTACTACAAGTAAAATTTGGCTTATTTTCCAGAGGAACTATGATTTCACAAATCAACTGGCTCATTAGACAGCAAAGGAGAAATGCCACCATGAAAACTGTCACGTGAATTATCTCAGGGAACCTTAAATTAGACATTTACAGCAATATTCCAATCAGGCGCCCAACCAAGACTTAACCAAGTGCCTAGGTATACTATATTATGGACCACCAGCCTGGTCGACCTGGGGTGAGCTAGATCAAATGTCAGATAAACAAAGACCTAGGGTAGGGTACATATTAATCATCGGTGGTTCGGCATGAACAATCTTTTCTAAGCTTATCCAACAATCTGATACAGGGTTGACATCCAATTATCACTCATTGAAACATGCCAACCACTTTAACTGTGAAAACTGGAAATGTCATCCCCCAGTTATTTGCTCCCTGACAAACAAAATCTTTGTTCTTGCCTTGGAAATCCTAGAATTTGCCATTCCCCACATACATCAGAGCTACAAGACCCAGATGACTATAACATCTAAAACAGGAATATAACCTTACGCGAGAAAAGATAGAATATCAGCTCGAATGTCGGACAAGAACTTCAACCCTCCAGGATGAGTATTAAGCCGCTCAAACAGTACTTCATAATTTGGCTTGAGGGCATGCCTCAAGTTCCGCTCAATTCTATAAAATGCTGAAAGTGACAATTCCTCTTGTTGCCCACTACTATGCTGAGCTTTTTCACCTACAACCCACAGATTCTATTCAAAGCAACCCAACACTTAAGCATATCAGACATGTAGACAATTAACTCAAAAACTCACCAATAGGAAGCTCAAGACCAAGATATTGCTTCATCAGCTCCCTAACTTGTATTCTGTCAAGATCATACTCTCTGGCAAGTGTGAGAACTAATTTCCGTCGATTTTCCTTGGAAAGGCTAAAGTAACCCTACATTATAAAGACATACTTGCGGAATCATTACATTTTTCACAAATGTTACTCGTATATCAACATAATTAAGTTATCCCCCAATGAATAGTAGTATATATTCACCTCACAGAATTCACTGAGGGCAGCATCTAAAATCTCAGTCTTATTCATTAATATAGCAGAGTGCATAGAGTCTCTTACTTGCTCGAAGTCCCTGAAAATCCATTCAAAAAAAAAAAAAAATCAAAATCATTGCTTTATTCTAAACTCAAACTGAATTTCCTTTCATCTCTTTCATAATTGCATAAGCATAATGCGAATTCTTGACCCATTTATTTTATTTTATTTTATTTTGGGACAATTTAACAGAAATTGAACTGCTAAAAAAAATCAACACACAAATAATTCAAATGATCACCTTGGGGGATTAATGGAGGCATTAGGAGTAGAAGAAACCACGTTAGAATTTTCTTGAGGAGGAACTTCCATTTGATTGACTCTCTTCTGTTGAATTATTAGTTAAACAAAAAAGAAGAATTTATTTGTACAATCAAAATCAAACTAACTCAATAATCACCTCCAAAGATAGGAAAAGAAAAATCAAAGATTGATTAAAAGTGGAGTAATGAAACTCACAATAGCCGCTGGGGGGAGAGGCCGCATTTTAGTACGCATTAAAATGGCGAGGCCTTTCTTGTTCATCTTCCCAAATACTAGTAATCAAAATTCAATCCCGTCATGGAAGTTAAGCAGTCGATAAATAAAACCAACCGAATTTCTGTTAACATTTCAATGTTTTTGTTATTGTACGTTAGAGGTTTTGGGCCTACTGATAGATACTTCACAGCTCACCCGCCAGAGGAGTTGGACGGACTGACCCAAGATAAACGTCCATTTCCCTGACTTATCTGGCCCAAGCTCCATGATGGAAAGGTAGTTCCACGTTGTTTTAAATTCGGGCCGTTGCTTCGCTGTCTTAAATTGATCAAGTTCGTGTATTCCTACCAAATATATTGAAAAAAAAAATAAAAATTGGTGGCATATTTATTTATGTTTAAAGGGGCCCTCAACTTCAAACCCTTTTTCTTTTTCTTTTTTTTAGTAAAATACATAATTTCATTAACATAATTCTGCACTAATGGTTAAAAACAAATATCAACATAGATACACAGAGATCTAATTCTTTTTTTTTTTTGGTAAGTGAGAGAATCTGATGTGATGTCGGTCTTTCCAACTTCTAGCTAAACTTGCTCTAATGTGGATCTTTTAATATACAGAGATGTTTATCATACACAATAAATAACTATTATAATAACCATGTAGAGATGGTTTTTTTTTTTTTGTTTGGTGTCTTTTCATGTACATTATATATAGTGTGACATTACCATAATATTTCCTCTCGAAAAGTTTGGAGTAGGATACGTATTTTCCCATTTATTGATTCAAAAAAAAAAAAGAAAAAAAGGGAGAGACTGCTAAAATCCCTCTTTGCTTAAAAGTAAAAATAACAATTTTGAATACACAAAAGTGCAAAAACTAATGGTTGAAAATTGGAATGATAACCATGCTCAATAATCTACGTAATGCAAGCAACGTACCTTGTCTTAAATGAATAAAGGATGAAATACCAATACACTTTTTATCCCCGCAATGGATCTTCTGTCCCACATCCTGTGTCACTCTCTGTCCCACTTTTTATTATATTGCTATTTCTCTTATATAAACATCATGTTTTAATTCTTTTTTATTTCCTTAAGATTCAATAACTATTAATTAAGTAAAAAATAAATACAACAACTTCAAAAAAGCAATATATAATAGAAAATTAAAAAATACAGCAGAAAATTCATAAAAAATCTCATTTTTTATGCATTTTGATTTTTTGAGTTTGTTAAATTTTGTGTATTACTCAATTAATAGTTATTGAATTTTAAGAAAATAAAAAAGAATTAAAACATGATATTTATATAGGAGAAATAGCAATATAATAAAAAATGGGACAGAGAGTGGCACAAGATGTGGGACAGAAGATCCGTTGCGATTTATCCCACTATGTCCATCAATTTGCCATGAAAAAGCCTACGAAATTTTGCTTTACAGAAGATGACAGATAGTCTTACATTTACTAGAACTAGAATGTAGCAAGTATCATATCTCATTTTAAGGATATGTGTTGTTCTAGGATGGTTTAGACTATCCATTTAATTAGCTTCTACAACAAGGTGTAAAGAATTCATTTAGAAATTAATTTCAAATCCAAGCAATTTGGATCTTCAAACTCAATCACAAATTCCATGACTATAATCACAACTTGGTGGTTTTTTGGTAAAAATTTGAACTTATTGGTTGATAAAGCTTGTATTTGCATTTCCTAATGAATTCAATACCTAAGAAGATATAAATATAGTAATATAGTACGCAAAAAAAAAAAAAAAAACACGAATAACAAAGTAATGAAAATTTAAACTATTGCAACACTTAATTATTGCCTCCTCATATTGGTAGCTTTTTTAAGATTTTTTTTCCCATCGTCTTTTTGACCTTTTGGTGTTTATGCTCGTGGAAGTTCCCTTCCGTAGAATTAACGTCAATTGCAAAGCCATAAAAATCTAGTGCTGGTCTTTCTCCGTGAACTATTTCGTAAATCACCTCGAGTCACTACTATCTTCTAGCTCTTCTTTTTGACACAAAAGTAAGTGAAGCAGGAAAAGTAAACTGATAATACCAATCTAGCTACCTTATGGTATTATCAGTTTCACTTGGCCAAAACATTTCTTAAATTTGTTTTCTCCATTGAAAATTATTTTCCGACACAACTGCAAATCAATCAAACTCATTCAATAAAATCCTACTTAATTGGTATCATTATGCTACTGTCAGTACTAATATTTTATACCCATCGTGTGTCATGTTACTTTAAGTATATAAAATTAAGTAAATTTTGTATACGATAGCATTGCATTGTATACACTATTATGATTGAATGCATAATACATATGCAAATTTTAGATTTCAAATTCAAATTTAGATTAGCCGTCATACATCTGAGTCTGATAATGTATACACTGTTAGTCAGTGGCGGAGCCAGAAAAAGGCAAAAATAACACTAAAATTTTTTACTTACTCTTTTTCTAGTTTATTAAGCAAAAAAAATATTCACCAACAAATTGAAATGAAAAACTTTTTTTAGCTTTATTTCAAATAGAACTTTGTGGTCCATATATCCTTTTAGAATATTAGTTCATGAATCAATTTAGAGGACTACGTAATTCATTCACTTCCTTCGTAAAAAAACTCTGAGGATACACTTGAAATTATATCAAAATTTTACAGGTATTATAGGAATTCACGAGCCCCTAGTGCCCCCACCTTAAATCCGTCACTGCTGTCAGTGTATATAAGATTAATCTAATAAAATTTAGCAGACGGCAAACATTCCAGCGCATGAATATAATAACCTTGAACTAGGGACTACATCCTGTCAAATTACGTACCTTCTTCTCAGATCTATTTAGTGGATGAATGCTGTCATGGCGGCGAGCCATATGTACTTCTATAGTTTAATGTGATAATTTTTAACAAATGAACGTTAAAGTGGAGACAACAGTTCAGGTATACCACATTTTGTGATTCTATCAGCTTTTTTCTTTTCATCGTTCCCTTTTTTTTTTTTCCGAACATATTGTTGTCTTTTGACACTCTAGCAAGGCAAGGATTCCAGCGCATACTTAATCAAATGAAGCCCACAATTCCGTTATTATATAAGGTTTGTTTAGTGCTAGAGTAATTAATGCTTAAGGGCCCATCAGGGGACTAATTAAGAAGAATCGTTTGCATGAAAGCAGCCTGCAAGGATCCCTTCCTAGAAATCATTAGCTAACTGATCCAGATGCAGTTGAACAACCTCGACGCTACCATCGGCCGGCCCCCTCCGTCTTTCTCTTAGAGTATTTTGAAAAGAAGCAAAGAATTGATAAAATTACCTCTGTCCATATGTAGAATCATTGTTCCCATTTTACTCAAGAGTGCTACTGTTATGCCGAATTGTACAATGCAGAAAATCAATTATCATTCGTCCCTTGAGTGGAATACTACCTACCCTTAATCAATTCAAATTTTATACCTTTGAATGCTTATTTCTTAACTTCTGATACTAGTTGGCACATACGTGTCAAAAGATATCTCATCGATCCACGCTTAAAAATTTGCCTTTTAACTCAGAATGCGCTCTATAAATTACTAAGAATAGTGTTAAAGAATTCCAAATTTTCATCCGTTGCTAAAGAAACCCGACCTACAATTCAAAGAGGGATTTAATCCCTTTTTAGCGGCTACTGAGCCAAGGCTCAGTGGTTACTTTTGTGTATTCTGTGAAGTAATTATATGTGTCTAGTCTCTGTCTCTGCCACTAATTAACTCAATCTACTTCTTACCAACCTCTCACGGTTTCAAGACAATGAGTGGTGCCTGCTACCCGTCCATGTTACTAGTTTTGTGGTAATTAACCTTGCAAGAAAATAGACCGATGGAGACATTGAATTAATACTAGAAGTTGATACTAGAAGCTGCAAAGTAGTGGCCTCAGAAGAAAGAACGTTAACGCATGCATGGAAAATTGGCTACGTGACTTGTGTAGGACTAGGATTTGCCAATAACGACTCAATTATTGAGAAGCAGCGACTTCAATGATGGAACCCAAGACCTGCCCTCTTGAATAAAAGGGTCCCCTTTACCAAGCATCCCCTCTCGGGTTCATGTTTTCTTATGAATTCTCGAGAATCCACAGCGTTTTTATCCGTGCCCCTCCATATCTTATCTAGGATATGTTTTTCCTGCAAACCGACCATGCGTCAAATTTTTCTTTCCTTTCTGATACCCATAATGGAGTTGCATTAGTCCACGACAAACATGTAGCAGTGAATGATTGTCTAAACAGGTGTTCCCATGCTAATTTAGTGTAGCGAAATGCAAAAATAATTAGATGACTCAATCAATAGTACTTGTTTGGATCTCCATTTTCCCTCAAAAAATTTTTTTTTACGTTTTTTCATGAACACATATCTCAATTACCTTTTTAATTTGTATATATCAAATTATTATAGTATGTTTTTTTATAAAAATTCAATAAAACAACAATCAAACAGACCATCCAATCTCTTGATATCGTACCATGAGCACACTAGAATTGTAGCCAAGCCAGAAACTACTGCTAGTTTCTTCAATTAATGAAACTGAAGCATGTGTTGCAGGCAAGAGAATATTATACATTGGTATCCAATATCCATGGCAAAGACATATATTAGGTATTAGGTAGTTTGCCACATAGAATCGATTGGTATAACGATAATTTAGGGGACTGAAGGAATCTACCTAATACAGCTCACACCTGAGAAAGGAGACTATTATTGCCTTGTATTGTATATATTCTTGGAACAGAATAATTGTGATGCTGCCTCTAATGCCAAGGCAAGTAATTAAAAGTTTGCGTCTTGATTCGGCACCCAAAGATTCATATTTGGAATGTCATTCTTCTTTTCGCCAAACCCAAAAAAAAAAAAAAAAAAAACCTTACAATATCAAAACTAAGATTCCATATTTGTCAATTCCGGGATAACATCATAAACAAAATAGTAGTGATTTATACTCACGAAGCATAATGATTTAAGGCTTTATGTTCCCCAAAAAATAAAATAATAATGAATTAGGCACACTCACTAAATGTGGATCTAGCTAGGGTACAATTTTGGTTCTTCTCCCCTTTTTTTTTTGTGTTTTTTGGTTCCCCTTTTCTCTTTTGGCTATACAAGGAGGAGGAAACTCCCGCGGTAAAGCAACGTAAAATAAAATTAACTGTGGAAGCATATGCTTAGGCAGAATGGACCCGCAATCTCAACTAATTTTTGGATCCATTTCTAGTATTTTTGGATGGCCAAATTTTTTACTGTGTTTTAGTTGTTGAAAATATCATTTACAGTAACACATAAAACACCTCACAATTTTAAGGAAAAAAAAGGTGGGTAGCCGTAGTGGGCGATACGTGAGGGGTAGAGGGGCAAGGGAGTTTTTAAAGGTGTTTCAAATGAATACTAACATTTTTTTCCAAACTAGTAACTATAAAAAAGCTACTGATAAATTTTAGATAAACACCTAAAAAAATATAGAACCATCAAACAGATCACAGTTTGGCCACCACACTAATGCGGTCATTGGTTGTATCTCCTCAAACATCACATGTTCAAAGAAAAAATTTAACTGGAGTCACTTCATCCTTTTTGTTTCTTCAGCGTCTAATCTAATTACTACTCCTTCCGTTTTATTGTTAATGTCATGTAAGTTTTTATTTTATTGATATTCCGAAGCAAGAGTTACAATTTAAAATTTAATGCGTACTTTTCAAACTTGTCATTTGAATAAGTAACTTTTTAAAATTTCAATACACATTTAACAGGGAAATATTTTTAATCCAAAGAATACATCTGTAAATTCACCAGTGCCATATCATCTAAACATAGTGATTACTATGTCTACGCAAAAGATGGATTCCTAAAAAATGACGCTAATATTGGAAAAAAAAAGGGAGAATTTACTAGATTTTGGAATTTCTTTTGACATGTTTCTTCTAGGGAAAGAAACTTTAGTTGACTTGATAATGCTGCAAAATCTGATCTTAAGTTGGCCATTAAAATATTCATTGAGCGTATGATTATGAATAAACTCAGTTGGCTGCAGTTTCAGAGGCGGGCAACTTTATTAATGCAAAAGAAATTCCACCAATCGTTTTCCTTTTGTATTTTCTGCTTGCACGTTTCATCTTTGGCCGCTGTATTCTTCATTGGAAAAGGCTCTCTGATCACAGCTCACTTCTGGAGTAGTCAATGGATGCAAATTGTAACACAAAAAGCCACCGCTATAACGTCGGTGCCAGCTTTTGACATGGAATTAGGGTAAATAAATAGAATATCTTTTTTGACAGGGAGACTTTACAGTATTAAACAAAATTGCAGGACTTTTTCAGAAGTTTCCAGACATGCTGGAAAGAGGAGTTAAATTGAAGGGTTTACTCCCAGTCTCTCTCAGTTTAGGTTTTTACATTCATCAAACAAAGATAAAAGAAGGTACAACTCAAAAGGAATTGGAAATAGAAAGGAATATAAAATAGAGCGAGCTGCTTCGGTGCTTTTGAGGCTCTTTATCTCTTAGGTTGTGTTTGGATTGCATTTTTCATGATTTTTCATGGAAAAATTACTGTAGCGATTTGATGTATGTGAGGGAAAAAGGTAATAGGGAAATGTGATCACGGAAAACAACGTAATTTTCCGACGAAAAATCGCAATCCAAACAAGGTTGCTACTCCCATTTTCTTCTTTTGAATAATAAAAGAAGTTTTATTGTGGACAACATCAATTCAATTTTTCTTCCAAGGGAATGATGATGAGACATTCTTTGAAAGCAATTAAGGAGATTATTACAGTGAAAGTTACATTTACTACATTGAATAGTTTATCATTGGTTCAATGATTTCCCATCTATGCTACCTGTGGCATTGTGATCCTTGGATGGTGTGCAAAAGGGCTATTATGAGAATTAATGTTCTACCAAATATTTAGTTCTAGCCCGGTTCAAATTTCATTTTACTTGCCATCTATTGCCCTACACAAATCATAAAATATAGAATCATGTTAAGGTCTGCGTATTTTTTGGGTTTGCACAGACAACTACTAGACATGTCTAATAGTTGTTCTAAACAAATATAAAAATTTTCATTTTATTTTAATTTACTATATTCGCTTTACAAAAAATGTTAGTGTTTATTCAAAATACCGTATTTCTCTAAAACACCCCCTTCCCCGACCCCCCACCACTAGCAAGCTCCATCACCCACTAGCTACCTTATTTAGGGCTCGTTTGACATTGTAATAGTTTATTGAAAAATACTTTATCTAATATAGATTTTAATGATGGCACTTATTAAGGGTTTAAGTACTTCTAAGGATATTGTTTGGATATATTATTTAATAAGTATTTACTGTATCGGATAATATATAATTTGAAAATTTTTAAATGAATTTATCTCTTTATTTAGTTCATATTATAAGATAAAATGATTAAATTTAATGTTTTATTTTTTTAAGCATAAAAGCTATCCTAAAAGTTTCAAATTTGAACTTTTACTTGCACTCCTAATTCTATGGAATGATATTCACCAAATACCTCAAAAATACTTTTAACAGCTAAAAGTGATTTTTTTGCTAAAAGAATCGCAATCCCAAATAGGGGGTATGCCTTAAGTGGTGTTATATCCGACTTTTATCTTTTTTTTTAAAACACCTACAAAACAAGGGATGACAAATTGACCCTTAGTTAAGTTCAATCACAATATAAATCAATTAATCCAACATTTGTGTATATCCTTAACACTCACTAATTAATTTTACTAGTAAGTTCTCTAATTCCTTTCTTCATAACTTCCTTCTCGATTTGATTTGGGACATATTATTATCTTTTTCTCAGATTTGTGAAGGTCAAGAACGTAAAATGCAAGCCACGCGGTCAAAGCATCTGTGCATAATTCTTAAAGAAGTCTATACCATTCCAAACAAACAAACACCTATGATTAGTCTTTTTTCCTCTTTGATTTGTGCAATGATAATTGCGAAGTCGACAGCTTTGCCCCCACTAAAAAGTCATCCAAATTGCAGTGTAGAAAGTTGAAGCATATCAGATAAATTATTCTCCAGACTAGACTTTCACAAGAGGCCAATTTTTAGTCCCTGTCAAAAAGCTAGAAAGGCCCCCAAAGCGCCAGTCCCCTTCAGCCTATCTGCCAATAATCCCAGTCCCGTAAAGCCATTTTTGAGGACACCTGGGGTCCGTATTCTTCGAGCAGTGGCTAAATACAAAGTGGTATAGGATCAATAGAAAAACACAAAAAAGGGCCCAAAAGAAACACGTCCTCTCCTCAGTCCTCAGTGGCCTTTTTGACATAATCATTACCGCCAGGGGCAATTTTTATTCTCATCATTCCCTCCTTCATACTTAAAATCAATAATATTCGTCCCATTCTGCTGTGCGTTAGAGATGGAGAAAGTGACATTCAAAAAGCGATTGTCATACTTCATGTTTTCAACGTTCAAACCACTGCACCTTTTCACACGTCCGCCTTGTTTGGCAAACAAATTTTTGGTCAAGTTTATCTGTTAGTATAAGTTTTTGAACAACTTTAGCTATAATAACTTCAAAAAATTTTTACAAAACATTTAAAAATTTACACACTTCAAAAATTTTTTTTACAACTTTTACAATAAGTTATAGTAAAGTTTTAGACAAACACCTAAAAAACTCACTTGCCAAATGGGCCGTCATTTTTAAGCTTTTCTCAAAGCATGTTCATCCAATTCAAGCCCGTTTGGATTGCTATTTTTTAAAGTTTTTGTAAAAATATTTATCATAACGATTTGATATATATAAGAAAAAAAAAGTGATTGAAAAATATGTTTATAGAAAATGTAAAAATTTTGGGATGGAAAATTGCAATCCAAACGAAACTTTTAAAGAATGCTTATTTCATATTTATGTTACCTAATTCTTCTTTAGATGGTGCTGCTAGCAAAAACTTCCTTTTAAAAAAAAAAATAAAAAATCTTTTTGCATAATTTAAAGCTAGCAAAACAGGTACTTCCAAGCAGAAATGGTACATTAACAATCTACTAGGGAAAAAAAAAAAGAATCTACTAGGAAAAGCCTCACAAACAAAAGAAGAGGTCCAAGATAGCTATGACAAAATTGAGTAGAGTTTGTTATAAAAGTTATTAGGAGGATTGGGCAAGCTATTAATGTCTACTTAGTTCAATGCATTTTAAGTTGTCATAATAGGAGGGTAAGTGTATTGAATTACTCTGTAAAAGAAGGTAAGTAATGAATTCCAGCTGAGGCTGCTAAATAGTATAGGCTCATGTTAGGTAAGTTATTTGTAATCGGATCACTGATAAACCTAAACGTTGACCTCATCCTAAACAATTTTTGCAGTTTTAACCTTTGAAACTTGGAAATTTAGTAAACTTGAGTTAGATTTAATAAAAGCTTATTTAAGCTCGACACGACACGGGTTCTATCAAACTGAAACACACAAACACTCTGTACTTTTTAACTAGTTCGAACTTCAAGTCTGCTTTTACTTACATCATAAATATATTTTTTTATTTCACACGTATCACAACTTAAAAATTGCTACCCACTTAATCCAAATAACTGTTCTAAATGATCTTCAACCATAGAAAAACAAAATGATACATAGCTGTAAATTAGACAAAATAAAAAGAGGAAGTATGATTGTTAGTTTTGCCTTCTACCAGTGAAGCTTTTTCCTGTTTTTGCCGACACAACACAAGAAAGGAAGAAACATGTTAATATATTCTTTCTATATTTTGATGCAATGCCAGTTACATACCACCACCATCCCTTCTCTCCCTTCACACGCAAAACAGCACAAAGCAGCAAAGCTTGTAAATTGTAATGTAATGCGAACCTGCTCAGTCCTCAGTAAGCAGACTCGTCCTACCGCTCTAAGTAGTAGTAGTAGACTAGTAGTAGTAATATATTTAATGTTCTCTCTCTTCATAAACTCACCAAGCTTCGAATCTCACAGCTTCCCCTTTTAACGATGGAGACACCTACCTCACCTCATCCTCCTCCTTCGCACCACCATCATCTCTGCTTCTTCTTTAATCTTTCTTCCACATCTCTCTCATTCCCTCACTCTCAACAATGCCCGGCCGCAACGGTTTAAGCTGAATGCCGTGTTTTGACTGATTCAAATATGCTCATACCAGTAGATACCGACTGTCAATACAAGAATCTCGAGGTAGTATCATTTATGGAAGGGAAAAAGATCAAATCTTGCTGCATTCGGAGCCCTCTGCATTTCTTTGTTGTGATCCTTGTTGCCATTCTCTCTGGTTTGCTTGCTGTTGATGGAAACACTGATCAAAATGATTGTGAGTTTTTTCTTTTTAACCACCTCTTTGAGTCTTTTCTTCTTCATTTCCTTTTTTGTACTGTACTTTTAACGGCTGCTAGGAGGCTGAGCTTCATTTTGTGGGGAACTGGCATTTTTACTGGGTTTCTCTTAATTTCTGTTTTTATTTTTATTTTTATTTTTTTGGCTTTTGGGAGGGGGAGGGGGAGCGGATGGGGAGGGAGGTGGGCGGTTGGGGCATTCTGTGAGTATGAAAGTCAGCAAAAATGATAGCTTTTTGTCTTGCTGTTTTTTTTTTTTTTGGTGTTAATGGATTTGAGGTTTATTGTATGTCAAGAATCAGATTGGTTTTGTTGGATGATGGAGAAATCTTGTGATGCGAAACTATGTCTTTAGTAAAATCTCTGAAGATATGTTGATCATGAATGATCTTTAAATTGTTCTGCAGTTTCTTTCAAATCGTGGGGAATGTTACAAAATTGACCCGATGCTCTTTGTTTGTTTGCGAAAGATGTTGTTGATGAAATGTACTGGAGTGATGTTTAATAAATAGCTTGATTATTCACTTCTTGGCTATTTATTTGCTTTTTGTTCTTTCGATGGGTTTGAGAGCCAATGCTAGGGAAAAGATTGAAACTTTTTTCTTAATATGGAAGAACTATTTTTTATTTGTTTTCCAATATTGACTTCTTCTCTGAATTATGTTTCCTTGTATTTCTGCAGTAACAGCTCTGCAGGTTTTGTACAATGTACTAAATAGTCCTCCACAGCTAACTGGTTGGAAATCCAGTGGTGGCGATCCGTGTGCAGAGTCATGGAAAGGAATTACCTGTCAAGGCTCTGCAGTGGTTTCGCTGTAAGTTTGTACATTGATATGGAAGTTTTTTATCCATGCTTTAGGTGCGTGTTTGGTATCAGCATCTTTGTTCTGTTTTGTCAGTCAACTATCTGGATTGGGGCTGAACGGAACAATGGGATACTCGCTGAATAGTCTTATGTCATTGAAAACATTGTAAGACTATTGTTTCTGTGATCAATAATGAGCTTAAAGATTATTGAATTTTGAGGTGCTTCTAATGTTAACAGCCACTTAACTTTGTAATCATTATGTGTATTATTTATCTTAGGGATTTGAGTGGCAATATGATTTATGATCCAATTCCCTATCAGCTACCACCAAACCTTACGAGTCTGTAAGTTTCAAAATTCAGTGAACTTTAAGTTGGTGCAGGATCTCGTGTCTTTTGTTTCTTTAATTTGCTAATAATGAGTTATCTGTCACTGCAGAAACCTTGCTTATAACAATATAAGTGGGAATCTTCCTTACTCCCTCTCTGGCATGGCCGCCCTTAGCTATTTGTGAGCGACACATCTTTCACGATTTCAATTGCATATGTTGGGTTTATTCTCTAATTTCTAACTGTCTATTTGCTTTAGGAATGTTAGCCACAATTCGCTCTCTCAATCAATTGTAGATGTCTTCAACAATCATTCTGACATGGCAGTGCTGTAAGGGATTTAATTACATGCGATCATCAGCTTGTTGCTTTAATACATTTGGGAGCAACCATTATAGTAGGAACTTCTATTTTTGTTGCCCTATATTCAGAGTTGCTTGCTGAGACTTCTGGAAATTTTCTAAATTTTATAGTACGTACAGTCCATTTAATGAAATCTGTTCTTCATGCCACTTGAAAATACAGCCATCAGTACACTATAGGAGCAATTCCCAGGTGTCCAACCGTTGTGATCTTATTTCAAGGAACAGTGAACACATCAGAAGATTAATTTTGTACAAGTGCATTAGATAACAAATAGGTAAGGTGACTTAAAAAAGGGATGAGTCACTGAAGCTGGGCAGAAATATTTATTGATGGGCAAGTAAACTGTGGTATCTGGCTGGACATACCATGCTTATGGTACTTGGTTGTTGTTCTTGGGAACTAAAGTTGATAAAATGTCCTATCATGAATTCTAATAATTTTTCATTCAAATTGTTAGTTATACACGAGAGAATAAGATGCAATGGATAAAGTTCTAACATCTTGCTATTCAGATTTCAGCTACACATATTTATTGAAGCAATAAACCACAATTCAGTTTTCAGCACTTTCAAAGCTTGAAATTGGTCATCTTTAAATTTTCAACGAATTGAAATCCAGTGTTTACATTCCAGTTTTAGTGCACATCCGGCTGAAGAATAGTTTCTGGAAATGTCATTATCGAGGGGATTTAGCTAGAATCTTATGGTACACTAAAGAGGGGATTGCCTTACCATGAAAGACTTGCATCCATATTATTTGGCAGACCAGTCTGTTTCAGTTTTGTCTCTCTAAAACAATTTTCTGACTTGCATGTATCTCAGGGATTTGTCCAGCAACAATTTGACTGGAGACCTTCCTCAATCCTTCATTTCATTATCAAATCTTTCTACTCTGTAAGTTTTGCATGGTGCTCCTTGTCGAGTTTGCTATTTAGTTGCTGAAGTTTCTCATGGGGTGTGTGTTCTTGCAGTTACTTGCAAAATAATCAATTGACTGGTTCACTTAATAGTTTGGTTGGGTTGCCCTTGACAGATTTGTAAGTGGCTCTGGCTTCTGGGAAACTATGTCAAGGTTGACCCCAGCTTACATCACATAATACCTTGTGTTCATTTCATTTCTTTTTCTTTTGTTGCAGAAATGTTGCAAACAACAATTTCAGTGGATGGATACCACAAGAACTCCTCTCCATCCCTAGATTTAAGTAAGTTGTCCATAATATTGCCCTATCATGCTAAACTTCTTAGATCTCTTCCCTTTGACATTTAGCATGAAACAGATACAATGGGAATTTGTTTGCCAATGGTCCTGCTCCTCCACCACCGCCATATACCCCACCCCCTCCTGGTAGATTTAGGAACCGCTCTTCTCCAGCTCCAGGTGCACCCAAGGATTCAAAAAATCATCCAACACATCCAAATACTGGAAATGGAGATAAGGGGCTGAAAGCTGGACCTATTGTAGGCATAGTTCTGGGCTCTTCGGTCGTGGCTTTCCTTGCATTAATTGCACTTGTTTTTTGCCTTAGAAAGGGGAAAAAGAAGGAAATTGCTGCAAGACCTTCCAGTGGAAGTCTTTCTGCTAGTACAGGTAGAGATCCTGTTATTCCCCTTTACTATAAATTTTAGCAGATAGTATATGAAAATCTATCATGTTATAGGTGTTCATCTAATCTTTGGTGGGGTTCTGGCTGGATCCTCTGTATAGGATTCCAAATTTTTGCAAGGTTCCTTGGGAAAAATTCATTCATACTCTTTCTTTGTTTTCTTTTCTCACTAACTACAACTTCTACTTGATTTTGGTGTTGCATAGCAAGGAAATTTTTTTATGCTGATGCTACCTTTGGACCCTCTTGGCTAAATAGTTGACAAAATGCCTCATTTCAACTTTTTGCTCATAGGTTATGAGGACTTTCCTTTTCATTGTTAGGTTCTGTAGGATTTTATGTCGATATTGTGTTCTTGGAATAGGGATGGCTGAGATCGTTATTCCCGAGTTACATTCTCTGTATAGGAATCATCAGGAATCATGCTACTCTACTGAGCAATATTAATGTCATAAAGTCTTTGCATATCAAAGAAATTCAACCTGAGATGCTGCTAAACTTGGAATAGCTCTATTGAAAGAAAGTTGTATCTTGTTGCTTTTTATAGTTCTCTTCAAAGAAACTATTGCTTTAGTCACTTTAACTTGTTTACCCAATCTGCATCACATTTAGTCGTCCTTTCTCAGTATTGTTATATACCATGAAATTGTTATATGCATCTATGGCAAGGACCAGTTGTTGTCCTATATGTCATGTCTAGTTTTCTTTTTTCATTTCCTGGGGATAACATGTGTTTATTTTCTAGCTTTTTATTGTGGAATTACTTGGCAGGATCTGTAGCTTTGTTGTGACTGTTTTAGTCTATTGCTTCCAAGTAGGCATGATTAATAAACTTAACAGAGGTTTTCATGCTTTGGGAAGGAATTCTGTTGTCTCAAAAGACATGCTAACCCACTGGTTGTGGCGTCTTTCATCAGGCTTAATACTTGTTTCTGAACATTGATTAATGTTTCACTATCAATTTGATGTTCAGTCCATGTATATGTTAACTTGTTGCATGCCTCTGATATAGACCCTAACTTATGCAACAAAACTGTTTCTGGTCATTGGGCTTTAATTAGTGCATTGAGGTGGTCTATTTTGTGTGTGTGGGTATGTTTGTAGTTAACAAGGAAATGCAAGAACAAAGAGCAAAATCTACGGCTACTGCAGTGGATTTGAAGCCCCCTCCCGCAGAAAAAGTGATGGTTGAGAAAATACCAGGGAGGAATGGATCCATGAAGAGAGCAAAATCACCTATTACTGCAACATCTTATACAGTCGCTACACTCCAGACAGCAACAAACAGCTTTACTCAAGAAAATCTTATTGGTGAAGGCTCTCTTGGTCGTGTTTACAGAGCAGAGTTCCCCAACGCCAAGGTGATACACATTTTAATACTTGTAGCTAGTAAGAATTTCATCTAAGAGGACAACCAAAAAGCTTATCTTTTCTAGCATGTGATTCTTATGGTTCCTATTATTACTTTATCGCAATTAGGTGCTATCTCTGACTCTTGGACTACTTGAAGTGAAATACTGCATTTTGTAAAGAAATTTCTCCCACCCCTCTACATCAGCTGGTGGTTGAATGTTTCAGTGATGGACAAATTTATCACATTCATTTGGATGTGCATTGCCTGTTGTGAATATAATGAATTGGTAATTAGACTTTTATAATTTTTAACTGATAATTTCATAATTCACTTCTTGTAGATCATGGCCATAAAGAAGATCGACAATGCAGCATTGTCACTGCAGGAGGAAGATAATTTTCTTGAAGCCGTCTCCAATATGTCGCGCCTGAGGCATCCAAACATAGTTCAGTTGGCAGGATATTGTGCAGAACATGGGCAGCGTCTTCTGGTTTATGATTATATTGGAAATGGTAGCTTGCATGATATGCTGCACTTTGCTGATGAGCGAAGTAAGATGCTGACATGGAATGCACGAGTCAAAGTAGCACTGGGCACCGCTCGAGCTCTAGAGTATGTTATCTGCTTCATGAAATTAATCTTTCAGATATGCACTCGCATTTATAAAAATTAAAAAAAAAAGAAGTGAACAAGCATGCACTTGCTCTCACTAAAAACGATTTATGTGCTGAGGGCCTTTCGTAAACTGTTCCACTTTTATTTAGGTACTTGCACGAAGTGTGTCTGCCTTCTGTTGTACATAGAAACTTGAAGTCAGCAAATATATTATTAGATGAAGAGCTCACTCCTCACTTGTCAGACTGTGGGCTGGCTGCTTTGACACCAAATACAGAACGACAGGTAATCCTTGGGATTAAACGATGCAGATGTTCCAGTCAAAGTACTGGGGTCCTTTTCAGAGTTTTCATCCATGACATCCTGTGTAGGATAGTCATCTATCCATTCTTGTAACATTACTTAGTGGCCTGTTGTGTTTTCTCTTTTCTTTTCATTTTTGGGGGATGGGTGTCTGGTTGGGAGCTGGGTTTGGGATTAAGAATGTGAAAACCCAATCCAGTTAGAAAAGTGAGATTATAAGAGGCAACTTTCTTTGCCTATTTCACTTATTGAAAGCACAGTGGCAAAGGAAGTTAAAATGGAGGGTGGTTTTTGTTTCTTTGGACGTTATGTTTACTTGTTTGGGCACAAGCAGTTGAAGACTTTCAGTTTGTTCTTCATGTCTTGCTAATTAATTTTACCTATTATGAATGTATTCTTTTCTGACTTTCTGTCTGTTATTATTCAGCTCCTCCTTTTCTCCAAGCTAGCAAAAACATTTTCAGCTATATGATGACTTTTGTCCTGGATAATTTTTTAGAATACACCCAGAGATGTAACAAATTTCGTCACTGCAATGTTCAATAGGTTTCATCGACCCAAATGGTTGGTTCATTTGGTTACAGTGCTCCTGAGTTTGCCTTATCTGGAATATACACTATTAAGAGTGATGTGTACAGTTTTGGTGTGGTAATGCTGGAGCTCCTGACAGGTCGAAAGCCACTTGATAGGTAAACTTGATCCTTCAGAAAACAATAACCTCATTTCCATCCTCTGGTGATTTCTGCAGTCCTTGGTTTTTCATCCTGAATGACCTCATTTCCATTCTCTGATGATTACTCCACTCCTTGGCTTTCCTTCTTGTGCTCAGATTTTCTTTTCTTTCCCTTCACTGTGCACTTTTATTGTATTACAGTTCAAGACCAAGAACAGAACAGTCACTTGTGAGATGGGCCACTCCTCAACTTCATGATATAGATGCCTTGGCCAAAATGGTGGATCCTGCTCTTAATGGGATGTATCCTGCAAAGTCTTTGTCTCGTTTTGCTGATATAATTGCACTTTGTGTTCAGGTACAGTGTTATTCAAGGAGGAATTTCCATTATGGTTATTGTGTTAATGACAATCACACGTTGGGCACGAGGGCACTCATGATGTAATTAAGCACAATAACTGAATCAACTTTCTTTTTCTGTAGAGAGATAGCACAGTTGAATACAACTAAGTAAGAAGTAAGCGATTACTAAAGATATCATGGGAAACATAGTAGAGTAATATATTTAAACTAACTGTGTAAATCGTGTAACGCATACCTTGTGTCGGTAGCTATGATTTCTGCCTTTGTTGATTATTGGTGCCTGTGGGACTAGCTTCGGGGCACCATGTTGTACAATGCATTAATTCTCGTTATGACGATACGATATGTACACAAGTAATAGAACGGTGCTTTTTTGTTGTTTCCTTTCAGCCTGAACCTGAATTTCGGCCTCCCATGTCTGAAGTGGTGCAAGCTCTGGTAAGGTTAATGCAAAGGGCAAGTGTAGTGAAAAGGCGATCTAGCGATGAGTCTAGTTTTGCATACAGGACTCCAGATCATGAAACAATTGACTTTTCGTAATGGCCCTCTTTGTTTCCCGGCATCGCGGAGCTGTATCCAGCCTTTGCAATTTTGTATACACACCCAGGCAGAGGTGAACTGTGTAAAAAGTGCAAAACAGACCAGCTGATTATTGGCAGGTACAAAAGAAAAATGCCCGAACAGATTCATACGAAGTTCACATCTTTGTCCTTCCATTTTGAGGCACATATTTCACATTTTAATCGATGAATCAGTTCATCCACCATTCTTGTACTCATGGTCATGACTTACTGTGTATATTATTGTTCTTCTTCCAAGATATAAATACGTGTATCCCATCCGCCGGTACGCAAAGGGATTTATGAGAAATGATGAGGGGGAGTCAAAATCTACACATTTTCCTTCACAAATCACGGTCATGTAAAGTGGTCCAACCCCTTCTTCAGTTCTTGTAAGTTGTTCCCAAAAACTTGGTACTGCCACCAATAACCCATTGCTTCAATGGTCAATCTGCCTCGTGCTGTGCTTGTTTTGGCACAGCAAGAATTTGTGCCTTACTCAGAATGCAACGACTTTTCTTAGCTTCATCTGATTCATGCATTGTAACGTCAACAGTCTACAGGATTGTGAAACTGCTGTTGATTTATTGCAATGATGCCACTTTTCTTTTCATTATTATTATTATTATTATTTTGCAGTTATATAATTAATAAATTCTTGTAATAGTAGTATAATATAACAAGAAACGGTTGAATGCGTGAGCATTCCCTGTGGAGCTTCGAGTGTAAGATTGCCTGATGTTTTAGATCTGAATTTGAACAGGCTGGACCAAACGTGTTTGCATGGGAATTACGGACATGGATACAGCTTGGCAGTTCCAACTTGTGCATGTGACTGTAGAACTGTAGAAAATGTAAAATAATCCCCTTGCTAAAATGACAAAGCATCTTGACAAAGTTGGAATTACCAAATCTATTGCGACAGATCTCATCGTTACTAGCAGAGTTAAAATCATTAATTACCAAATCTGGCAATTGCAACATATACGAAAAGAAATGGAGCTACAACGATTTATTTTATTAAAAGATCCGTTCATAATTTTTTAAATCTATTATATCTGTTAAATTAGATTTTTGTATAAATCAACTCGTGTTAGATAATTTTCAACAATCCATTAATGCAACTTTTTGTTATAAAGTTGGAATTGAATTTCGTGATCCCAAACTTACCGATGAGGGATTGGGAAATGATGACAATCGACCAACACGTCGGTGATCTCACTTTACTATTCTTTCTGTCATTTGTTCAAAAAATCCACAACATTTTAATCCTAGTTTCCTGCCATTTGGAGTAACTTCACCTGGCCAACCTTACACCATTTTTTCACCCTATGCTTGTAACCAAATTCTAATTTTCAAAGTCAGATTGAGGAAACAGTAATAAGTGTAACGTCAAACTAAAATCAAGAGTAGTAGAGTATACAGCTTCTTTCTATTTGACTTATTTTTCGTTGACTTGTTTGCAATTTAAACTGATTCACCTCTCCAACCTAATTTTGTAGCAAGTTTATGATGGATCCGACCCTCACAAGTTGAATTATGTCCAAAATGGACTAGTTTCATGTGATTCTTACTACATTAGGTATAAACTCATAGAGTTTTAGTGCAATCGGGAATTTTACACCAATTCACTTGTATGTATTAAGAAATTCAAATTTACACTTAAATAGTATAAATTTACGTCAAATGTTATAAGAATTATATCAGTCAATATTTAAAGTGTACAAAACTCAACTTGTAAGCCCTAATTCTGTTTAAAATAGGCAAATTAAAAGAGCATGAACTATGTTATGTTTTTCTCTATTTTGAGCTCATTAGTTCGTTTACCTTAGTACTAGTCAAGGTTTGTAAAATCGGGATCCCACGTCGGATCGATTTTAGTTTCACAGAATCGGATCGTAGGATCGTAAGATCCCACCAAAAACTCCTAAATTTACTAAATTAATGAATTTGAAATTCATATACCATTTTGTATATCCTAAAAGATATAAACCTGTTATAAAGAAGAGAATATAAACCTGTTATCTAACAAGTAATAAAGAAGAGAATATAAATCTGTTATCTGTCATGATTTCAAGTCTTAAAACCAAATGCTTCACAGTTTACATAATCATAATTTCAAATATAAAGTTACAAATACCTTCACAAATACTAAAAAGCCAAACATCCAAAAAGATTTTCAAGATCAAAATTAACTACTAGAATGTCATCTGTCAAGTTTAAACAAACATGAAAAAAAAAAATAGCAACAATTCATCATTTTCAAGTATCATAATAATTTAGAAATACAATAATTTATAACCAATCATTTTCATCGTTTGAATCAAATTCATTATTCCCATAATCCACATTATCAAAATCATTATTTTCCCAATCATCTTCACCATGCCAATTCTCTTGGAATTCATCTTCGGCATTATCTTCATCACCATCCAAATTAGTATCATCCAAATCATTAGTTCCCATTTGAACATCATTTTCGAGAACCATATCAAGATAATCATCATCTTGGCGGTCGAATTCAGTTGAAGGCCCATCATCCTCATCAATAACATGAATCTCTTTCATTTTATTAACTTGTCTTCGACGGACATGGGTTTCACGATCTTGATGATCATCTAAATAAACAAACAATAACAATGAAAGTTACCAAAAACCAGTCAGCTAGCAGGTAGTTTGATTCGAAAAAAATAAAGCCAAACCAGTGAGCTAGCAAAGGAGGCTACTTTACTTTCATCCCAAATTCCCTTATAATCAACAAAGTAATTGAACTTTCAGACATTCAAGAAGCCAAATAAACACTCAACTCGGAAAACTAATGCAGAAATATCACCTCTTCAGCTATAAAGAAATTCAGTCCTATTACCAATGGTTTTTGCAAGGCCAAGTGCCAATCCAATGAAAGCATAAGTGAAGGACATAACAGCAGCAGTAAAATCTGAACGGCCCCAAAGATTAGCATAAGCATATGCTACAATTTGACATACTCGCAACTACTATTGTGCCCTTTTATGTGATAACAATTTGATTTTTTTATTGCACTGCGGAAATTGTCAAAACAGAACCGAAAATCCAAAACCTTAAAAATAGTAGCTCTAGCAGTTAAGCGCAATTTTAAGCAAAAGCATTGAATCACAGAACCAACTTCATAATCAAATTCTTCCCGTTGTTTCTCAATTTTCTATGCAAATAAAGAGAAGGGTATCTCAGATTCTCAAGTTCTTGTTTGCACCTGCAGAAGCCCGAGAATTTTGTATAATTCCTTTCAACTCAATTCAATCAAAGGCAATATATGTTCAAATACAAGAAATCCAAATAAAAATCACAACTTCATCAATCACCACCTCCACCAAATATCAATTTTCAAGCAAGAAAATAACAGACTCACATGTGACTTTAATTGAAGTGCTGGTGCGGAGCTTCAGTGTGGTGGCAGCACGGAAACTGGAGGAAAATGGGTGCTGGATCTTGAAGCTTTGAAGCTTTAAATGGCCAAAATCCGGCGGCAACAGAGGATTTCGTGGCTTGATGCCTTGAAGCAACGGCCAACGGGTGCTGGAGCTTGAAGCTTGAAGCAATAGCTTGTTGGTCCTTGCCTCCTTGGTAGAAGCCGCAGGCTTGCAGCGATTTAGTCTTGTTGGTAGGCGTAAGAGTTGCAGCAATGGTGGTTTGATGGATAAATCTAGGGTTCTGGGCAGCGGTAGAGAAGAAAAGAAAAGTGCAGGCTGGAGAATGAAGAAAAGATTAAAAGAAACATTACAAAGGAAAGGAGACAAAGCCCAAAGGGCTGACCGATTGACCGACCGAGGAAAGGAGAAGAATTCGGTGCTTTCTTTGACTTTTTGGGCAAAAATTATTAAAACGTTGCAATTAAAGGCTCAATTCTTTGATAAATTATAACCCTACCCCAAATATTTTCATTTACTTGCAAAATGGAATATCATATTTCGCATATTAGCAAAATTTTGTAGGATCGTAGGATCGTACGATTCTGTACGATCCTACGCGATCCTATGCTCGATTCATGTAATTTGCGATTCTAAGTGCGATCCGGATCGATTTTGCTTCTTTGATAACCATGGTACTAGTAGTTATCCAAGTACTTCAACAAGATTCCTAAAAAAAAAAAAAAAAAATGTCCGAGGAGCTGAGGACCGAGTCCGTAACCGGTCAGTCACCTTATCCAGTTCGCACACTTGCCCACGTCACCATCTCGCGCCTTATAAATTATACTGGCTTCTCCTTTGCCTGAGGCTTCGGCCTTCGTCTCCTCCCCTGACTTCCTCACGCTTCTTTCGCTTTCCTTGTCCTAAACTTTCAACTTCAAAAATCCATTTTTTCGAATAATAAGAAAAAAGAGAAAGAGGTTATCCAATGAAACTCTAACAAAAGCATTAAATTCTCACAAAAAAACAAAAGAACGAAAATCCCACTCGGGAAAGTCTTAAATTCTTTATTTTTTTGGGGAGTGAAATGTTCCGTAGTAGTAATAATGATGATTTCTCCGGCTCCTCGGATTTAAATGAAGAGGATATGATTAAAGACCCGCAACCCGATGCTTCCACTTCTGGTAACCTCCGAAAGTCCGTAAGCCAGAGCACGTCATCATTAACCTCCAATGGTTCAGTCGAATCGATATCTGCGACCCGGTTCTCACATGGGTCTAGACGGAAAAGCAAGAGATGGAGAGGGTGGTGTCAGAGGAGAGGGATAGCCGGGTTGGCCCTATTGGTGCTTGTGTTTTTCATCTTCAACTCTTGGATGCTCTATCGGATTCGAGATCCGGGTCGGGCCGCTGGAATTAAGGTCAAGTACTTGAAGATGAATTCTTCCACGGTTTCTATTAAGGTAAGTTCTAGTCTCGACATAATTGAACTTTTTTGAGGATTTTTTTTTGGTATTTGTTAGTAGATTTTGGAAAATTTTGAGTATTGCTAAGAGAAATGGAGAATTTCTTGTAGAAAAATAAAAAAAGTGCAATCTTTTTAGCTACTGTAGTATGTAAAATTATTGATTTTGGACGTGGACTATCGGTGCATACAATTGCAAGATGAGAGAATAGCTCAGCTTCACTTGCCCTTGAAAACTTGGATGTTTCCTTTGAAAATTTTTGAACTCTCTGTTACTATATTATTTCAAAGTTAGACGTAGTCATGCCTGAAATTTGAAGAAATGTACAAGGTTCTTCTTCCAAGTATGCATCTTTTCAAATTCTTGCCCCCCAAAAATCTCCACCCCTGCGTTAGCCACGGACCATGGTCCGGATGCTAGGTAGGTTTTATGCTTTACAGGTAGATAACATGGATTTGTCCAATGTGAAGATCACTGGTAATTTAATAGTTGGAGACGTACTGATGAAATTTAGGTTGATATAGTAAGTATATTTCTTTAAGCAAACCTAGAAAACATTATTAGAAAGATGCATATAGCTCTACAGGCTCTAATTTTAGGATATCATGTCAGGACTTTTACTTTCTGAAAACATGGTTATTACTTTTGGGAGTTTCAGGAGGTCTAGAGTCTAGTTTGATTCCCAGCAGAAGCAAGTGGGATTAATTATGTTAGGGGTAGGATTTTTGGATATTCGTCCCAAGATCCCTTTTCCTTAAAGCTGCATATGATTTTCATTTGATAATTGACGGCATATCTTGAAAAGTTGAAAACAAAGCTAAATTATACCCTGATTTGTCTCAAATGGTACAAATATTTGTTGGCAAAAGTGTCATTGTTGAGTATTGTTCCACCTAACTTTAAATCAAAATGAATATATGTCAGCTTTCTTTAGAATTGTTTCATCCCATAAAACTTCTTAGGAATTTATGAATCTCATGTCTGAAAACCAACGAAGTGCGGGACAGCACTCTATTAATTTTAGTCAGGCATAACTCACGAACAGAACAAGCCCTTAGGGTAGGGCTTCCAGTTTGTAGGAACTATGGTGGTTAAGGAGAGACCTGATTGGACATCTAACTGCCCTCCTCCTTATTCCTGCAGTGATATTTGTATTAGTTTACCGAAACATATCAATAAAAAGTGCATCTTTCATGAAATCAAATGATGTAATTATGTGCATGCATTTTGCAATATGTAATGCATGTAGCACAAAATCATACTTGTCAATGTTCTCTTTTATTTGTGAAACATCTGTGTTAAAGAGCATGGTAATCATATTAGTGAGGATCCTTACAGGATGAGAGCGTGGATAACAATTTTTTTAGATAGCAGTTAACAAAAAATTACAACAGAAAACTGAAGTGAACTGGATGGAAAACCACAATATTTGGTTGCAACTCCTAATGGAGGGGTTGAAGGTTGTTGCTTTAAAGGGGCTATGACATCCATATCGGCAACTGGATAAACTTTCTTCAACTTCCCTAGCATTTCTAAAATTTCCTGTTAGAAGATTGTATAACTTTTGAGAACATGGAGGAAGTATGGAAGTCTTCATTTACTCTGTTTTGGTTTTGCTGCAATTTAAGTAACATGAGAACTTATAGGTGTTTTATTCAAATGTAGGAGGAACTAGTAAAGCTTGGTAAAGGAAAAAAGCCTCAGAAGACTATTTATGCAAGACTGTTGGCAAAGGCTTCCCATGCCTTAGCTGAGGTATGTATAATGAACATCTGCTTAACCACTACAGTTCTTTAAAGTAAATGAAAAAGTAAATGCTTCCCAGTGGTTGGGGAAAGGCTCTTAGAGTTCTGTTCGCTATCAGGTTCCGGGTTTGAATCCTGGGCCTGACAACAGGGGATAGGAAGGGTGTGGGAAGGGGTGGAAGGGTAAAAAATATATATAATAATAATAAATTTGATAATGCTACATGTCAGGGACAGAACAAACCAGAGCCGGAGGACTTGTGGGTGGATCATGACAATGCTTCATTCTGGAAACCTTGTGCTGATCAGCGCGATTGGGAACCTAGTGGTCTCTCTCTCTCTCTCTCTCTCTCTCTCTCTCACAAACACACACACACACACACCCCTCCCTGCAAGTATCACCAACATACCTTGTAACTATTGGGTTTGAGACCTTTGTTGGGCTAATATTTGCATCAATTGGTTTGCACATTTCTCAGAAGGAAATAATGGTTACATAATGGTTACTGCAAATGGTGGCATAAACCAGCAGCGAGTTGCTGTAAGTTATGTCTATGATGCATTTTCTACTTTCCCATATCCATGGTGCAAATAACTCTTCTTTAGGAGTTCATCTCACAAATAATTCCTAGCCTTTCAAGCCATATATTGCAACTTTAATTTTTCCAATTATCATGCCACCCTCTGGCAGTAAAATGTTAAAATCTTTTGAAAACAGATATGCAATGCTGTTGCTGTTGCCAGATTACTTAATGCAACACTTGTTCTTCCGGGCTTAATGTACAGCAGTGTGTGGAGAGACGCAAGGTAAATATTACTACTGATTGCATGGAAAGCCTCTTGATATATATGTATAATTACTGTCTGTTATGTTGATTTTTCCTTTTTGGATTTTGTACGAGTTGTTAATACATACGTACAAGATCACTGTGAAGGTCCTCTTATTACTTTCTCCTTCATGTGCCTTCCTGATTCTGTCTATCATCTGGTGCAGTCTCTAAAATACTGCACCTTTAACAATTTTATTTACATGCATTATCCTATCTTCAGTAACACACTGTTTGAAACCAATAAATTTTCCTGACGTCTCCTGGAAAAGTCCTTTCATAATGCTTAAGATGTTCCACAAGTGGAAGATTGATGGGATAATTCTACTATTTCTTAGCCAGTTTGGCAATATCTATCAGGAGGATCATTTTATCAATTATTTGAAGCCTGATGTTCGGATAGTGAAGGAGCTTCCAAAGCAGTTAAAATCATTAGATCTGGATGCTATTGGCAGTGTGGTTAGTTTCTTATCCTGTCAACTCTAGAGAATGTTTCCTATGTATAATATAATTCCAAATGCTTATAGATGTTGTTGCTTGAAACTCTGGTCTGAAATTGTTCAGGTCTCAGATGCTGATATAGTGAAAGAAGCCAAGCCAGGTTTTTACAAAAAGTACATCCTTCCCATTTTACATCTTAATCGAGTTGTACATTTTGTTGGATTTGGGAATCGCTTGGCATCTGACCCTATACCATTTAAGGTGCAGGTAAAATTATAGGCTCTTGACATTTATTGCTTGTCGACCTAGGATTAGCTTGGCAATGAATCCATGGAATGCCAACCTTTTGCACTTCTTTTTTTGCGTTTCTTTCCTACCTTGCTTCCTAATTTAAGGACTTCATCTAGAGACTTCGATGCAGATGTAATTTTCATGCACTGAGATTTGTACCTAAAATACAAGAAACTGGAGCTTTGCTGATTCAACGAATGCGTCAAAATATGTCTCAACTGGGGCCGTTGGATAAACACCTTCTTGGTCCCTTGGCAGAACCCAAAAAGAAGGGGCAAAGATCTCATTCAACCAAAGCTTCCAGATATTTAGCTTTGCATCTCAGATTTGAAATTGACATGGTGGCACATTCTTTATGCGAATTTGGTGGGGGTAAAGAAGAACAGAAAGAATTGGAAGCTTATCGTGAAAAACACTTCCCTGCCTTGATAGAGCTAAAGAAGACTCAAAAGTATGCCATACTCAATTCTTCCTACATATCTGGTCTGAGTAAATCAGTTATTAGATTATGTTTGATCCATGACTTGTCATGGTATTCACATCTTTTCAATCGCTCAAGTGCTTAACCTGTTTTTCCTTTATCCATTTTGATGTACTGTCAAGGTGGTTAGAATCTGTGGAGTACGAAACTGTTTGTTGAACGGGTGTCACTCTCTTTTTTGTGAATAGGCATCACTGGTTAAGTGAGACAACTAGTTGGCAGTATTCATAAGGTTTTGGCTGTATGTGTTAAAAGGTTTGCACATTTAAATGGCCAGCAAGTATACAAGTGTGACCTTTAATTGACTGTTATTTTACTGAAATTGTGTGCATAACTATTTAAGATTTGGTGTACAATGCAGAGTTTGCATAGAAAGATGAAGAAGCAAATTTATAGTGAGGAAATTGGATAGAGGACTAGGAAAGTGGGATTCCCAAGGCTTTACACCTAATAGAGAGGACTTGCATTTGTGGAAACATTTTTCATCACATGATCTGCCTTAAAACTGATATAGAAAGCACCTTTATGATGGACTTGGGGACGAAGGGTATTCTCTCCAAATAAAAGTTAAACGTACACAAGAAATTGATTGCAAAATTTTGATGGTATTGACTCCACATGGCTGCTCTTAAACGCCTTACTGCTCTTTGACTACACTATAACGAAGCCAAAATTGCATTTTGACTAGAACATTCTACTGGTGAAACCTGTAGACAAACTTTTTAAATTGCACTTTGAATTAAAAAATTGAGGATGGAATAGGGAACCCAACTTTAAGATCCTAAATATCTTCACTTTTTTTCTGCATAGGTGAATTATGTACTCAAATGATGAGTATTTTCATTGATGTCTGCTTTGTTTTTCCTAAATTTTTGTAGATTACCTTCCACGGCTGCTCTCAGAGAAGAAGGATTATGCCCATTGATGCCTGAGGAAACGGTGCTTATGCTTGCAGCCCTTGGTTTCAACCGAAAAACGCGCATTTATCTGGCAGGAGCACATATTTACGGAGGGAAGTCAAGATTGACTGCATTAACTACCTTGTTTCCTAATCTGGTTACTAAAGAGAACCTGCTCTCTTCAGCTGAAATTGAACCATTTGCAAATTTTTCATCTCAGGTAAACTTTTATCTTGCCATTAGCATTTGAGATCTAGCCAGTTAGTTTGACAAGGCATCTCCAAATAGTGTCATACCTCTTCTTTCTGTATTGCCGGAAAGTCGTTACTTGCTAACGGTGTATGCTATTTCTAATGTAAAATTTGGTTGTTAAACCCCTTGTAAACACTTCTGCAAAACAGAATTGCAGATGGGTATGCAGAAAGCTAATCATAGAAGTAATCAGCTTTTGTTTGGAAGTAGGTTACCAGCTCAAATTAACATAAAACACTGAATTTCTTATTTAACCTTCCGGCTTGAGGAGTGACATAATGACTTGACCGTGGAGTTGCTACTGTTGGATTTTTGTGCATTTCAACAAAAGAATGTAGTCTATTTACATATATTTTTCAATCTGCATCTTTCAGTTGTTGAATGGCTTGTTACTTGAAAATTTATTTGCAGTTAGCAGCACTGGACTTTATCACTTGCACAGCTGCAGACAATTTTGCCATGACAGACTCGGGGAGTCAATTTTCATCGTTGGTATCTGGTTACAGAATCTATTATGGTGGGGGAGAAATGCCAACAATTCGGCCAAACAAACGCAGGCTTGCTGACATATTTGTTAAGAACAACACGATAGAGTGGAGCGTGTTTGAGAAAAGAGTAAGGAAGGCTGTGAGACAAACCAAAAGGGTTTTCTCACGTCCTACTGGTCGGAGTGTGTATAGATATCCACGGTGTCCAGAGTGTATGTGCAGTGACCAGCCCTGATGTACTTTTTGGCGACTTTCTGTTAGCATTTAGGCAGTGTATTTGTAGGTAAAACATTCTTTCGTAAACATTCTTTTGGGCTTTTGATATCAGATTTTACTGGAGGTCCAAGAATAGAGGTTGATTCAGTGTACAAATATAAAACAAACTTCAATTTGAGAAAAGTGGACTATTTATTGCTTTCGATTCCTCAAGGACTCGGGTGGAAATTTGGCCTGGCCCGTTCAGGGCAAGGTAAAAGTATTCCTTTGGTTCGTGAGATGCTGGTTACGTTTGCTTTGTGGCTTCAATAAAGTCCGCCTTACTAGTCTTAAAACTGTCAATTGAACAATCAGACAAAGATGACCTTCCAGTCTTGAGGGAAAGGAAACGCCATATACAATATATTTTGTTCAACAAGGAGACGCTATCAATCCTTTGACATTTTTATTAGCTGGAGGCTCTTGAATCCACACTTCAAATATTTAGCATGACATGAAAGCCGTTAGCATTCAATGCTCTAAAAGTAAGAATCAAGAATTATGGGTTGATGTTGCGTGGAAATTTTTGTACTAGTACGTCGCCCACAAAACAGATTTTGTAACAGGATCACTGCTCTCAAACTACATAAAACAAAAATTTCAGAACGGGAGTAAACTCATTGGAATGCATAGGGGGGGTTCCTTATTGAGGGGGGGCAAAAATAAAAATATTTGTCCAACGATACAGACTTAACATTTATTGATTTCAAACTTAAGATAACGAAACAGGCAATACAGACAATGGGATTCTCGCGATATGATCCAGACTTCCTGCCAAAACAATTTCACCAAAGCTGAAGTCATCGAGTGCTTGAGTTACATTGAGTCTTATTTCCAGGTCTTGTATTCCTTGAGGGGCTACCCTAAACCAGGGCGGATGGATATCGATCATCACTCCAGCTGGTGGTAGCACACCGCATACATAAGTCTCCGGTTTGCTTGCCACATTCGTCACTCTCCTGTGTACTGTTCTTGATCCTGAAAGGGCTGTTATCGTCACTGAAGGCAGGTTGAGGTCAGCTGGGCTTCCAAAAGAGGAAGTACACGGTCCTCCAGTAGCCGTTCTAATCGATGCTGGATCCAGGTTTGGAAGAGAGCACAAGAAACTAATGTAGTCTTCGTATCCTGTTTCATGACCATGCATGCATGAAAACGAATTAATGCAGCTGCCGGGAGCCAGAAAACGAGATTTTCTTCCTATTGAACAGTGGAAATAATTATGTCCCTTGTGATCTTACCAGCAGAGAAAACAAGCCCTGGATCCATAGCACGACTGGGATTGACATGGCCAGCACCAAAACCAAATGGAGCAGCAGTATACAAGCTATCAATTTCAAATCCATGAGCCATTATCTGATCTCCCTGATTGTCATATTTTGTTGCAGTGGTTGACATTGCTGAAGCAATCATGGATGGGGTCCATTTAGGATTATTTTGCTTGATGAGCGCAGCTATGCCTGAAATGTGAGGTGTCGCCATGCTAGTACCAGATATTAGAGCAAAATTTTGTCCTGAAAATCGTTAAGCTATATCATGTTCGGGTTAAAAAAAAAAACTTGGTTATCTTTATGCGAGAATGATCAAAACTATGGAACTAAATAGAGCTTGAAAAGGTGAACTCATGTAGTACCAGCTAGCATGGGATCTGAAGCACTCAATGGGCTCCAAGCTGCCCAAATTTGATGCCCTGGAGCCAAAATATCTGGCTTAAGCACATCAGTAGGATTCTTTCGTTGGTCTATGTAATCAGGACCCCTTGCGGAGAATCTGCTGACAGTAGGTGCACGTCCCATGCAAGCAGCAGTCCTTCCCTCACCTATTGCTGCTCTTCCGCTGTAACTGATTACCAATCCTCTCTTATCACGACTAGTTTGCTCTTCGTAGTATTGGGATATTAGCTACAGGGGAAAGTCATTTGATTCATCATAATTCAAGTTGCAATAATATTCTCTGGAAATATTAATTTGCATGTAAAATTTGCATACAAGTGCATCACTTGTTCTTGGGATCATTATGCTAGGAACAGAGAATGGAATAGGTTCAGCTATAAAGTCTCCATATCTTGGGTTTGCAACAAGCACAAAACCTACGAAACCAAGAACTTTTGCTGTGTTTATGATGGCAGTAAGGTTTGAAGTTCCATTGTAAAAGCCGTCTGAGAATGTGCAGATCACCACACTTCCTAGCACCACAGCAGGATCTAGTGCCTCAGGATATTGGCATTCTTCTATATACTGTGAAATCCTAGGAAAGTTTCCATTCCTAATTACTGCATCTTTCGCTAAGATCAGCCTATGTTGAAGTAATCCTTGTCCAGAACTCGGACCTAGAAAGAGAACTAAGAAATCCAATTATTACCAAAAAAAAGACAGAAAAAAAGATAGAAGGATACAATTCACTTCTGGTACTACTAAGAGCACCAGAAGTATTTACCTGATAGTCCCACGCCGCCAATTTTTTTACCATTGCCTAAAATAAGAGTGCCAGGGTAACTTCTGTCAGTATCTGAAGCAGCCACACCAACTGTCCAAGGGCTATATGACACCACAGTATAAGGACCGGGACCTCCATTACCCACAGCTTGAATGACCAGAATTCCAGCCTTGTTTGCTGCTAACATGAAGATTTCGAACGTGCCTAAAAATGTAATCGCATCTTCTGGTGGTTGGTCTGGTCCTATGGAGAGTGTTAGAATATCCACTCCATCCAAAACTGCCTGCAACAGTCAATCAAGTTAAAATCTAAAGTTCAATGAGAATCTCAGCTTACCACTCGCTACACACACACACATTCATCTGTGCTTAATGAAATACATAGAGTCGGTGATTACTTGGTCAATTGCTGCAAGTACATCTGTTAGAGCTCCCACGCTTGGATAAATAGCTTTGTACACTGCAATACTGAAAAGTATAAAAGCCTGTAATAAGAGTCCAATATTAAAAACATCAATAACCTAGTAATCCTGCTTTAACCATTCCGATTTGCGTGAGAAATGTTAAGGGCCTTGTAATAATGGCGTAAATAGGTTACTTGGAGAGTTCATGGCCTTTATTCCTCATCTTACGACAAGGGTTAGATTCTCATTCATTCTCATCATCTCCTTTCCCCATAGGCTTCCTGCTTATTTCTTCCCACCACACTACAAATGCACTCCTAAATTTGTATCACTTTCTCACTTTGCACGTAAATTTTAATTTTAAACACTTTGCATCCTCTAATCTTAAGTTTGTCCCGTTTGAATCCAATGAATAATTACGTTTGCAAAATTAATGAAATTAAGGAGGGCAAAAATTAATAATAATGTACTGTCTTATTCTAATTGTGATCCCTTAGCTTTTTTGTGACCATTTTTAGTGCACTGTCATTAATTTATATAATCACAATCACTGCTATTATTTAAAAAATTAATGAGATAAAAAATGATGTGAATTAATGATAATGTATTTTTTTAAAATTTTTGCTACAATACCTTAGTATTTTTTACCACTTTCAACACGTTACCTTTGATTTGTTGGGTACTTTATGATGTTAATTTTTTTAAAGTTGTCATTGATTGGATTTGGATGGAACAAACTTGAGAGTCTAGAGTGTAAAGTGTCCAAAATTAAGAATTTAGGGTGTAAAGCATCTAAAATTAAAATTTTGGGAGCAAAGTAAAAAAGTGATTTAAGTTCAGGGGTGCAAAGTGAAGTTAATCCTATATCTATATATATATAGAACACCCTACCGTGCACGCGGGGCCATGCCACTGGCTTTTCCGTAGTAGAATCCATCAACTACAACTGGAACTCCAAAGTTTCCAGCGGCAATTGAAGCCACATGACTGCAAAAGAGAAGATATATTTTCCCGTTAAGTAACGGGAAATTCTTGTGTTCATGCATGATCAGCAATAAGTAGCAAATTAGTCTTGAAATGCAAAAATTTCTTTCTTGAATTCGAGAAACTGTAACGATCAGTTTCACTGTACCTTCCATGTCCTGCAGCATCAAAGGGTGATAGGAAATCCATTGAGGCATTAAGCGCAGTAGCTGCTTGTGCTCCAGCTGAGAAAAACCTAGCAGAAACTATTTTACCATTGCAGGAAGTCTCAGGAAACAGAGGACCACTCTCACAAGTCCCCGAAAAACGAGGAAGTTCTGATATATAAGGATTGGTTGGGTCACCAGCAAAGCTGGGGTGAAGAGGGTCGATGCCCGAGTCCACGAAACCGATCACAGTTCCTTCACCAGCATTTCGATCTCCTCCTTCCTGAGTCCAAACCGCTGGCAACCCTAAGAATTGTGGTGTATAAGTTGTCATTAATTTGGCTCTCCTGTCTCTCTCTACAATCTTAACCCCAGGAGCTTTCTTTATTCTCTCAACCTGATTTTAGAAAAAAAAATATTTTTTACCCCAATTGTCAGTTAAAGCCGAACAAGAGACAATGCATAAAAGTAGTGAGAAAAATTGAGCACTAACGATGATATAATCTTCAGGGTTTTACCTGAGATGGGCTAGTATGGACTGCGAATCCATTAACAATGTTTTTAAAGCTGTAAAGCTTGGTGTAGCTTCCTGCGTCTAAAGCAGTTTGAAGAAGCTGATCATGGGAGTCGATCAGGTGCTTTGCATGAGACTTGGAGGCCTCACTAGTATTTCAAACAAGAATAGAACGAATTAGTTTCCCATATAACATTTTCAAATATAGAGAACTTGACTACGTGGGAGGCTGATCAGGAAACTATTTTAATCTTCCATGATTTATTTTAGATATGTAAACCAAAAGGCACAGAGAAATTATTACCTGTTGGGATCGGATCCTTCTCCTTTCTCAGTTGGCATTGTACCAGAATTTTTTTGATGATGAAATACAACCGGCTCACCTTCCATTAGAACTATGTATATGTCGCGCTCTTCTGCAATGCATGATATAGCAATCACAAAAGTGAGAAGTTTTCTAGTCAGAGATGAAATCCAGACAGCTCTCCTACTTCTTGCCATGATTAGGCAACAGTGCTCAGAATCCAAAGCTGCGTTTAGGGTTTCATTATCCCTGGAAAATTAATGTACCCTCTCTCTTACAAGCCATGCAAAGCCAAAATTGTAATCGCATGGTTGGCGTGAAACAAAGCTGTTTTAGCAAGCTTTTCAGCTGATCTTAATGAAACCGACTGTTACTTTTTTTCTGCTTTCCACTATTTTTGTTCAAATTCTAGACAGAAAAACTGTTGCTGAGATGTGTTTATTGTCGTCTACCCGTGTTATTGCTCCCTGTTCACGCTAGCCAACCTTGCAAGTCCTACATACACTGCAAATCAGCAACATAGATCCAGTTCAAGACCCCTTTTCCGAAAGCCACTTGGCTCTTGTTGCAGGAGTCGGCACCGTAGCATTATATCCTGATCGATTAAATATTATGTCATTTTGCTTCCGCTGATTCGCTGCTCATGTAGCTGAGCTTGATATTCCACGGTCTTTAGCCAGCCTTTAATAGTGTTTTATCGGGTTATTTAAGATCCTCTGATCATAAAATCAAGGGGCAGTCGTCTTTGATAGGTGATAGATGCAGCTATTTTTTATCACCTAAATGAACAGGATTAATTGCTAGCCAACATCCTTTTATGGCGTACAAGCAGCACTCCTTCCGCAGCTTGGAATAATTATATGGTCGTGTAGAGAAGGAAATGAATCAAAATTCTGCTGATCTTCCATCTAGCAGCAGAATCAACTACCACTGCAAGAGTCAATTACTCATGAAGCATAAAACCTAATGAAGGTCCTCCCAACGATCATATGCATATTTAACCTATGCAAAGATAGTAACAATCCAAATTCTTTGCTTGACACTGAAGATTCAAAACCAAAGTTAATTTATCTAAAATTTTGTTTCAGATTTTCAACAGCAGAAGCATCATTCTGAGCGCATCACAAGCTACAACAAAACCATCTACCAATATGCATGCAACCACGCATTCAGGAACTGACATAATATATCCACTACAAATAGACACATGTTCTAATCTTCTACGCTATACAACATCACAACAACATCAGATTTATGAAAACTGGCAATCCCTCCAACCAGCAACGTTGTGCTTCCCCCCGGCTTACTTCTTCCGCCGTTTCCGTTCCACCTGTAAGAAATCAGAGGCTTTATTAATATTCGAAAGAGATCAATAACAAAAATTATATTCCTTAAATGTTAGATGAATTAAAAGAAAAAGCATAAACTTAACTATTCCCGCCACATGCATTCCAATACAACCGGGAGGAAAATTTTCCTATGATACCAGTGAACTTGCAAACGCTCTTGTGACAAAAGTAATCATACATTCGAGTAGGGTTGTTATAATTTCTAGAACATTGCCTTGGCACAGCCCAATGTCAATAAACAAACTGCTGCATATGACATGCGTTTTTTTTCACCTACACTACAATTCTTTGTCAGATGTTACACACTTCTGTCCAATTAATAAGACAAAAGAATTTACTGCCAGTGCAAACCAATAAGTAAGAAAAAATTCCATCAGACCCATTACCAGCATTGAGCTACTTCCAGACAGTTTCTGTCATACAGACAATAGAAAATATAGAATACTGGACAAACTTTAAACTGGAGATTTTGCAAGGGTCAGATTCAGTGTTAAACAGTAAGGTAGCATGTAATCCAAGGACCAAACACTAAAGATCAAGCACTAAACATGACAGCATTTTTTACAAATATTCATACAAAACATATTCAAGAGGTGATTGAGACCTTCTAAAAGAGTCAGGTGATATAGTCCTAAAGAAAGAAGTAATTCCATTCGTAACTATACTTTTCTTCTTTCTTCTTCTTTTTCCTTATTTTTTTCCCCATTTAGCACATACTTGTACGTGCAGATGGTGCATATGATGGAACAGAAAGTTTTGCTGTTCAAAGGACCAATTTGAATGTTTGCCTGATCATATTCAGAAGAGATACTTTCTCCAATAAAAATAAGCAATTTCCAACATTCACTTGCCCTAAATTTCTCTATGTAAATTGTAGAGGTGCTTTTGGTCACTAGGGAAAACATAAGGGTGGATGAACTAAACCTTTTCACATAATTTTCAACTCTGCCAGAAACCTATTTTCAAGACCACAACATCTTAAAAACTCTCTTTCCCTTTATGGTAGTTTGTACTCACCCTCCTATCTCAGAACATATCTGAGTCAATAATTTAACATAACCCTCTCTCTCTCTCTCTCTCTCACACACACACACACACAAAAAGAAACATTCAGAAACTTTACCTGTATATACAGGTGTTGGTTCCTATTCTCTCTCTCAATAACACAGACACTGATACACACAAACCAACACACACACGAAGAATTTATATCTCTATATGCAAGCACGAGTGCAGGTGTGCAGGACTTGTCTTCTACTTTGAAAGCTGAGAAGCCATTCCAACAATTTCTGTCTTTTCTCCAGCCAGTTGACCAAATATACTCATAATTTCTTTAGTAAAGTCCTTGGCAAAAGAAAAGTGTTAACCATGCCAACCCTTCCCATGAAGATGGGGAATAGAACCAAATTCTTAAAGGTCAACATCCATGATCATATGCTGGAGTAACTGCCCAACACAAGGAAAGGATGACATGGAAAACTTAAAAGAGTGTAAAACATTGACAGTCAAATGGCTAGGAAACAGAAACATTTTATTGACTAAATTCTCCCCACCAAAAGTTCAATGGAGCATCATAGAAACAAAATTAAATTTAAAAAAAAAGATTGTATTCGATTAGAAGTCACGTGCGAGGATGGTATTGACCTGAAACTAGTAGTAACTAGAAAAATTTCAATATGGTCAACAATCAGTGGATATTGGACAAATGTACATTTATCATCAAACAGTAGGTGATAGAGCACGGTCTGTTGTTACATTTACTCTATGCAATCTTAAACTAACGTTGCCTTCAAGCAATTCATGTTTTTTGAAAAGTTCTAGACAGACAACTATATTTGGGCAAAATCTGCATATAATGAGCCTCACCTTTCCATTCATTATTGGAGACTCAGTTAATTTGGTCTGAGGCTTTTTCACATCAGCAGGTGCACAATCAGAACAAACAAACATATCCAATTGCTTTGCCTGTTCAATGCTCATCCCAACACAATCAGGATGAAACCTATCAAAGAATCAGATATTGTTGCTTAGAAAAATTAAGACTGGGGAGACTACAAGGTATAAAAGCAACTCAGAAAGGAATAAACAAATACTTTAGCAAAGGCTAGTTATTCCCACACTAGCACATAAAACTTTAATTATATATTCTTTCTTCACTTTGAGGTGGAGAGGGAATTTTTGCTGAAAAAAGGTGAACTACTCATGATAAAGAATGATGGGCAGTATTCCTCTCCAGAAATAAAAAAAGATGCTTCAAAAACATCATCTTTTTAACAATCTACATCTTGCAAATATGAAAACTCAAGGTGTATCATTAGCAAAAGATACCATTCTTCAAACAGCATTTAGTTCCTCCTCTTTGCTGAAAAGGAATAAAAAAGCAATCCTTATATCCCTATATGTTAAAGCCCTGCAATGCATACACAGTTGATAAAACCTTTCTCCCTTGTTTTCCCTATTGCAACTAGATCTAAGGGAGGGGAAGTCTCTTTCAGTGGCAGAAAGCATTTTTTCCGAGCTTCTTTATCTGAACAATTCAATTACACCCTGAAAATTCGAGGTCCAACTAATACAACTACAACCACAAATGAATCAATAGAAGCACAAGAGAAAGTTGGTGAGTAATACCAGTCTTTGCACCCATCGCATTGCACCATCAGATCATCAGGGTTATATGGCATCTCGCATTTGCAGTACCTTCATTATGAACCACAAAAGAGTGCTTAGTAACTAAAGGAAAGATAATCTTAAAACTATACCAGGCACACACATAAAATACTCACACTGCAATACGGTCAGGAAGAAAAGCACCAGTAGCAGCTTTATACTCGAATCGGCAATAGTAATCTTCAGGCGTTACATTTTCAAGTTTGGTATAATTTTTGAAAGTATGGACAATGCACTTCCCTTCAATAGTATCGGCACTCTGAACATCCAAATGGTCTGACAAGAATAACTCCTTTGCTCCATGGAACTGCCTCCGCCCTCCAAGTGACTCCTCTGGCCTATAATACCACCTTACTCGGACCTTGCAGTTGCTTCGATTATCAGCCTCAATCTTCTCAACACGTGCCACGTACGGGGCCTTATCAATTTCTGATGGGCGCATCAACACACAATCCGCAGCTTCAAATCCACAAAAGAGAATGGTAAACAAACATCAATTACTAAACACATCAAAAAATTTTCCTTGACAAGGTTTCAGTTCCAATACAAAGCAAGGCGCCATAAATAATAAATCTATCCCACAACAAAAAAAATATCTCCATAGCCATCCATCCAGGACCAAGAGCCCATTAATATTTCAGTTACATTTTTCCCTTGGCTCAAACAAGAAAAGTACAGAATAAAACACTTGTTAATTACATGCTCCCAAATACACTGTCTCTATTACATGCATAAAAATGTCTGCATGTACTAAAGAGTGTCCTACATTACATTAGGAAGACAACCGGATAAGCGGCAAATGGATCTAAATATATCCAAACCAATTACAACCATTGACTTAATGGATCTAAATGAATAGGATATATAATGGATAAATGAAAAACAATTATCCATTTATTTAACCAACTCCCCCAACACCTAAAACAACTAAATCCTCCTCTGTCATAGTCGATCCACAAGTACTCCAACTCCAACCCATAGGAAGCCTATGCAAAACAGATACCTAAACATGCACATGTATACACACCACTTAATTTCCATTTGCACCCTCTCCTCTCAGTCCTGGATTTCGAATCCATGATTCAAATGCTGCCGAATAGTAATTAAGAGCATTCTTCAAACAGGTTAAATGTCCAACGCAGTTCAAAGTACCTTGTATTTGCCCAATTGATTATATTCATCGTTCGGTAACTTGGCAAGCTTCAGCGCAGCCTTAAATTGCAAACTTATCAT